ACAATAATAGACGTTTTAAAATTTTCTTTTGGGAACTTTATTAATATAATATTCAATAGAGGACATTGCTCTTCAATCTAGAAAAAATGATAGGTATTATAAAATTTTCTGTTGGGAACTTTATTAATGCAGTTGTCAATAGAGGGTATTGTTCTTCAATCTAGAAAGAGCTGGAACCTTTAAATCAGCAAGGAAGCTTATTATTTACATATAAAGTCCAACCTGTCCACCATCACTGGTGCGTCCACTCTACTAGATAATTTTTTTTTTTCAAAATAAAATTTTTTACTTAGGCCATATTAAGGCCATCCATGTTTTTAAATCATGGCTTGCATGGTTGAAATTTACCATGTCACAAAATCTAACTATCTTTTATAGATTCCGAGATATGCCTCCTCATAATTCACTAATTAAAAAAAAAAAAAGAATACTTGCTGTATCCTTTTATTCCACGAAAATGTCATGCAGAAGAAAGTTGTTAAGTATTTCCCTAAAACAAAATGTATTACTTTATCATTGAATTTTCACCATGGTCAGTTTCCAATTCTTTGAGTTACTTATTAAGAAGAAAGATAATATATTATTACATATTTTAAAATAAAAAATGTCTTTATTTAATTATTTCTGCGAAGCTTTGTTTTTTTTTTGTTGACTGATCCTATGTTTTTCTACTGAATTTTTATGCTATTCAGTTAATCGAACGCATTTAGCCACGTACTTATCACATGTATGAAACAGGTGTGTACCAAATTTAATCAAAATATAACCACCATAGAAACAGGGCTTTCCGAAACCTCTGGCAACATCTAGGGGTTGCTTCGCGAACTAAATCTCCAATACATTATATTTTAGGAATAGCAGCTATTGGAAAGTATTCGGTTATTGGTTAATCCGTTTTTTTCCAAGTTCGGTTTAACTGTAAGGTTATAACGGCTTATGGAAATAGCCGGTTACCAGGAATACAAAAAAAAACTATAATCGGTTATTTCCCTAATAGGTTTTATCCATAACTGGCAGTTTTTTATTGTTAAATAAAATAATTAATAAAAACTTATTCAGAAAATATATCATTTCAAATTTAATTTTATTGTAAAAAAATATAACATTAAATTTTACATACAATTTTAAACATATATTTTACTGTGTGCCGTTTTAAAATTAAAAACAGTACTTGAAATTAGTTAAATTATGCACCCTGGAGGTAAAGAACACCATGTCCATTTTAGTATTTCTTCAGGGGAGCTAATGTTTCATAATTTTGAGCTATTAAAATTTGTTTCTTAGTTACTAAAATACAGAATTATAACAAAGTTATTAATTTTACGAAGAAATACAATCATTGTTTAATTTAAAACAATGACTTAATAAAATCAGAATATATAAACCAATGAGAATAAAAAATTGATATGTTTCACCCTTATCGGTGAACAAAGGTGGTTTTAGACATTTCACAAACTATAGGAAAGATAAAAATTAAATTTTTTTTTCTTGTTTTTCATCTGCTATCAGTAACCAGATTAATTAAGTCAGATAATTGAGTTTCCCATAGTTTGTGAAATGTCTAAACACACTTTAAAATAATAATAATGATAAAATGCATGAAAAACCACAAACAAGACTTATTTTTATGTTTATTTTGGACCTCCCTCAAAACAGAATCATTATTTTTTTTTCATGATTTCATATTGTTTATGCCAGTAATCTAAACTAAATACTTTAGTAATCACAATATATCCTCTTTTTAAATTATAATGTATACGCCCCCCGTACTCTCTCCTCCCAAAAAATTGTTCCCCTTTTCTTAAAAACAGAGCAAGCTAAGATAGAATTAAAAAAATCGTAGATCATATATAATTACAATTGCTGCGGTGTGTTCCATGTTTTTCCCCTGGTCCTTTAGTCTGAAAATTCATAACTCCATTGAAATTTGGCCCCTCAAAAATTCAAAAAACCCATCAAAATATGCCTCCCACAAAAATTTTGATGGAGCAACTTGCGTCATGATAACCCCTTCTGGGTACCCCTGCACAGCTACTAAATGTAAGCAAATATCAAGAAACAAAATAAGATTCATCTTTAACAGCATTACTGTTCCTGTAATTACCATTTTATTTCAATTTTTTTTTTAGCCTTCAAAGAATACTTAAACACCATTTCGTATGAGTATTTTTTTTTTTTTCCAAAGAAACAATAAATAAAAAAATGAGGAAAAGAAAAGAAAAAGCCTACCCTATACCCAAGTCTAAATTTTTTTTTTTGTAAATACACATATTTTTCAATAAAAGACTATAATTCAATTTTTCAAAAATAAAAATTATACAAGATCACTGGTATAATCTAATGTATTTACCAATAATCTAATGGATCTACCAGAGGGGAGGGAGGCTTTCGGATTGAAGCCCCTCTATAATAGAAAGATTATTTTTTCTTCATTGGTGTTTGTTACGGTGCGTGATCTAAGATAAATTCTTAAACAATAACAATAGGTCATTTATTTTAAATGATAATGCATAAACAGCTACTAAAATATGAAAAAATTATCTCTAAAAGTATTATTGTTCATGTAACTATATTTTTAATAGGATATTTTCAAGAATCACTTAAACACTATTTCGGTAGTTAATTTCTTTACTTTTCTTCCCTAGTAAGTATCATCATATATTTAAAAAAAAAAACTCTTGAGCTGAAGTACCCCAAAATTAAATCCTGAATCCGCTACTGTACAAGATTAAAAATTTAAATTAAACTAAAAAATTTAAAACTTTTCTTTATTTCAGATTAAATATTTTTGTATTTAATACATTAACTATTTATCTATAAAATATTCATATAAAACTTTTCTTTTTCAATTCTTCATTGGACACTTTAATTTATTCCATAAAATTCTACAGTAATGATACTGATAAATGTAACTGATTCCAGTACCTAAATGAGGTTTTATTAATAGTAGTATACTACAAAAAATAAATAAATAAATGTGTAAATTAACACCAATAAAACTTTAAAAATATTATTTATTACCATATTATTATTTGTATCATTTAAATGTAATTCATTGTAAATTTGGTCTCTAGACCATTTCTTAAGTTAGATTTATTTATTATTGGTCTTACAAATAAAAAACAACAAATTCTATAAATTTGCAACTATAAAATAACAACTTTACTTAAATAAGTTCTAAATAATTAACAAATCTTGTCAACAAATTTATATTAGTAAAGTATGTATATAAAGTGCTATATGCTATAAATAATATACTATATTTAGAACAACATGTAACTTATAACAATGTCATTATTTTAATATAAGCTCCTCAGCAACATTTCTTTATAAATGAAATGTGCAATCTAATAAATAAATATTTAAAAATAAATTTGTTTTCATAACACAATGTTAAAAATCATATCACATAATAAACTAATAAATGTTTATTTGCTAATTTCATATTTATATAGATAATAAATAACCTATAGTTACAGATTATTTTTTCGATTCATTAATATTTTGTTAATTTATAATAATATGATTATAAAACTATGATACAGTATGTATGAAATCACTTGAGACATTAAAGAAGCACCTTTGTCTTACTGAAAAACTTAATAATAATGAGCTTAACAAAACAGCCACTAATACCAAAGTAAACCTTAGGCAAAAAATGGAACGATTAGGCTGACGGTTAAGAATATGTCAGTCTTTCATAAGTATACAAGACTTTGTCATTAATTTGACATTTATGTTATATTCAAACTCCATTGTTTTATTACAAAAATTGTAAAAAAAAAAAAAAACTAATCGATATATTTCAAAAATATTTAGTCATATTCAATATTGACTTTAAGTAATAGACTTTTGATAGTTTTTTCAGTATTATCAACACAACTGACAGCATTCTGATATTTTTAATAATTAATCAGCTGATGTAAATTATTTATAATCTGAGGTTCTGTTTTAATATAAAAGATAATAAACATCTTTCCTCTGTATTAGTGGTATTTAAACTGATTTCTACTCAAACTTCTGAAGTATTTCAACAATCAATTTTTATTTTAACATGACTTGTTCAATGAAGTATAATTTAATTTATAAATAATTATTATATGCTGATTCATTCCATGCATTAATAAGTGTTTACTCATTAATACTACTAACGGACTCATATTATACAGTTTAAACTCGAATTATTACGAGTTTTTATAATATTTTTGAAAATATGTATGAGCTTGCATAAATTTAATATATAAATAGTCTCATGTAAAAGATATTATATGGGAAATTCCGAATTATAGAGAAGGGAAATGGTCTATTCGAATTATAGAACGTTCTCTTCACCTTTTGTAACAAAAAGGCTTTCGAGTTATTGAGCTAACAAAATCCCGCACTTTTTCGATTTATTGAAGTTAACAGCCCAAGAGTACGAATTGCCAACAAATTTGAATGATTGACGTTTAAATTATCGAGAGTCGAGTGTATATATTCAATTATATATATTCTAAACAGTATTTGGTACTGTTGTAGAATACCTGAATAGAAAAAGTTTAAAGACCACTATTTGATGTATATTTTAATAACAGAACTTTTATTTTTCAATAAAAATATCAAGAGTAATTTCAATTTTAAAATTATCAAATCTTCAAAGTTGAATGTAATTCCAACAATAACTGCAGTGATAATAAAATTGTTGATATTACATTACTTCTTTATTTAATGTATAAATAATAATAAATTGGAATATATGAAATACAGAAAAAGTAAATGGATTTGTTATCAAAATATGAACAACCTCAAGGAACTATTCAGCACAAAACACTGTACATACTGATATGATTCATAATATATAATGATATGATTGATAAAATAATAAAATATCATTATCATCCTTTCTGTCAATATGGCAGCAAATCCTTCATTTTCATTTAATATAATTGAAAATTTGATTATTTATGTCTTCAGCTACATTTATATAAACATAAAACGAAAACCATCTATGAACCACACAATTACATTAGGTTAAATGATGTATCTTGCAGCCTAAATAGTGCGATCCCTCCCACTAGAAGGAGACTGATTGTTAATGGTATTATCAAAACGACGTGAGCTGAAATGAGTCCAAACAACCTGAACCAAGCAAAGCAGATACCGAAACCAGTAGCTCTGAAACAAACAAAACCAAATAATGAAGTAAAATTTTATTCAAATAGATTAAAAAACTATTATTTAAAAAATATACCTTAAATGAACTGGGAAAGCTTCAACTGTTATTATGTTAACAGCATTGAAAGAAAAGAGAAATATGATTGAATAAACAAAATCAAACACCAAAACTGCTATTTCGTCGTTGAGGAACCAACAAGCTATTGACATCAAGCTACAAATCAGCATCGATGCTCCTGAAAAATGATATAAATTATAATAACAAATTATTTAATAATACTTAAGATAATAACCTTAAAAATATAAGAGATTACTAATATATCTTAAAAATGGATAAATCATTATTTTTATCCATTTATTAGTAAACTACAAATCAAAAGTATTGCTTAACTTGGAATTATCATTATCATTTTAAAAGGTTAAATTAAATATTTAGTATGAGATTACCAAAAGCAAATAATATGAGCATAATAAAAAAAAAATTCAGTCTCCAGACTACTGTGAGTAGAAAATATTTATAAATAAATTAATAAACTTTAAGAATATTCTTCTTGTTTCAGTAACACAAGAGCCCATTATTGGTCCCTGGCCTCTAATAACTTCTGCCAGTTTGCACATTGTTTTTTTAAAAATGAAAATAGATTTTTATTATCCTGGGACTGTTATCCCTTTAGAAAAAATTATAAATACAGAGGAAATGCCTGTGTGGCCATAAAATTAAATTAAATATTTACAATTCTCATTAAAATTAAAATATTGGAAGAAAAATAAAACTTGTTATTTTATAAAAGTTGTTGTGCAACAACTCTCTAATCTCTGGCCCCGGGACATCCTCTGCTATGCCATCCATCCATCTAAGACAAGGTCTTCCTCTACACCAGGTACTATGAATGGTCTCGCTCATTATTTTTCTGAGGATCTCATCCTCTGATATTCAAGCTACATAGTCAGCCCATCTCAATCTTCACAGTCTTGTGTGCTTCACAATGTCAGGTTAACAGTTGAGGTTATATATTTCTTGTTTACTCCTCCTGAGGTATGCTCGACCAATTATATTATAATAACTCAGTAGTTTTGGTCACTTTTTTTTTTTTTTCCTCTGATTGAATATTTCAGCGTTTGTAACAACCACGTCATAAAGCATTTCTATTGAGTACACTGTTATTAATGTTATTGACAAGAACCATGGTTAATCAGGAAAAAAAACTTAGAAACATAGAAAGAATAATGGATTATTTAACTTCTTTAAACATCTTAATTAATATTTATGAGTTAAATTAGATTTATAATAATGAATTACCTCCAACTTTGTTTCTAGAAAATTTATATAAACAGAGATTGTGAATAGTCATTGCCAACAAAGGAGAAATCAGACGAAGCATATTTTCAGTAAGCTTATCTTTTAGTCTGATTCTGAAGTCTAAATCATTACGACAAGGAGTTCTTGTTGAAAAATATGAAACCTTGATAAACTCAGTATTTATGAAACGATCATCAGTAAAATCGGTGTCATAAATCCTGAAACAGAAACAGATGATTAACCCTGTATAACTCTGTTTTAGTCCCATATATAGTGGGAAATATTTAAACAGGTAATAGTAGTCCTCAAGGGCAAAAAAAAGTTCAAATAAACAATAGTCCGATTTTTGGCAGAAAAGTAGAAAATTTATGTTTTGTATTTTTTTAAGAGAGTCGCAATTTTTGTTGAATAGGAAACAATAACTAAAAAAATATTTAATTTAGGTATTTATTAAATTAGCTACTAACTACACTACATATATACTCCACTTTTAGAAAAACTTCCTTGTTTAATAAGCTTTAAGTCCATATTAATTAAGTAGAGAGTTTATTGCAAGATTCACCTCAAGTTGTGAAAAAGTAAGGTGTTTTGATATCATCTCGCCTTAAAATACCCATGTTTTCAACAAAAATGTCTACGAAGATTTAATTCATTTTTTTTTTCATTACCTGGGATTTATTATAATAAACATAAAACCATAAATATACTTTTATTTATTAAAAAAAAGTTAAAAATAATGATTTGACTGTATTTTTATTATGATCAACAATTTAGAAATTGATTCCTATTTATAAGTGACAAGTTAAATGTTTCCAATCCTTATATTAGTTGTAAAATAAAGAAGCATGACGATTGCTTTAATTATTTAAAAAAAAATATTTTATTTATTTATTTTTTATACTTACAATGTAAAAAATAATCACTTAGAAAAAGAATAATGTTAAGAAAAAGAAATTTTCATTGATTTAAATCACAGTTCAAATTTAAATAGAAGAATTTATTTACCTTGTGTTTTCTATCATTGAATCAATGAAATATGTTTTACTAGAATGTATTCCTGAGAAATCTGAGTTATTGAATACACAATTTTTAAAGATGACATGTGAAATGATTGAAGAAAACAGACATGATTCGAATGTTACATTTTCAAATAATTGATTTTCTAAGCCATAATTATAGGTCTTTCCAAATTCCTGTTGATCTCTTACAACTCTCATCTAAAATAAATAATTAAAGTTTGTAGTAAACATGAATAGAAATAAAAATTAATAAAGATTGATATTTATAGGTGAAATAAATTATATTTGGTAGATCACTCACAATTCATTTCAAATATTTCATCGGTCTAGCATTTCAGGACTGATAAATTCATATGAACCAGCTCTAAATAACGCAAATGTCAACTTGCATTTTAAATTTAAATAAAATAAAAAAGTTATTATTAATAAACTCACCTGAGCGAAATAGTCTATATCCTTTAAATTGTGCAATCGCTGAGGTACCCAGTTACTCATGGTGTAGTAACTAAATATATAATAGTAGATATGTTATATATTGTTATTCAAATAATGATTTGTTTAAAGTTAAACTTAAAAATAGTAATAAGTGTATATACTAACCTAAATCCTAAGGCTGCCCATGTTAATGAAAGAAGCACTACTGGAATTGTATTTTGTCTTATTCCGAGTTGTTTAATAGCACCAAAATACTGAAAGTTAATATAAATCTAGGGTAAAATTGTTACTTTCAATATTAAAAATTAGCTGGTTTATAAAAAACAAATAGAGTAGCTCAGTGAGTAAGGCACTGTGCTCCTAAGTAACCAGTTTCTGGTTGCAGAATTGTTAATAGAAATATTATTTATTCTGTTCCATCAGCCATGGAGAGACTCTAAAGCTGGGATAACTTCCTGAGATATATCCACTCCCTATTAAATGGATTTTCTTAATTAAATAATTAATTCTGCCAGTTGAGTGTGATATTGAGCAAATAACCTTCTTCAACCGTTGATCAAGAAATAGTACTTCCTTGAAAACTACTGAATCCAAGATCCTCTTCATGGGTTATCATGAAATAGTTTTTTCCAAGACAAATTTTTAAAATTGTCTAAGCAAGTTAAAAAAATAAATTGGACTACTAGAACCCATCAACAGTCTTGTTTTCAGTACTTAATAAGGAGGTAGGGTTTCTTGGTGAACAGTAGTGCTGGAAGGTGATTGGGACGGGCTCAACTGCAGATTTTCCCTCCCTTATTCAATTAGTTAAGGATACCCACTTTATGGAGACCGACTGTGCCTTATTAAGGTCTTCCGGGGTTCCATCACAGCCGTACTCGAACCTAGGCCTTTCAGAATAGGAACATCCTGGCTTACTCACAGAGCTACTCTACTCCTTAGTAAAAGTAACAGTAGTGATGAATATTAGAAGCATATTTATGGAGTTAACCTAATTATTAATATACAGCCCACATTGATAATATCTCTGTGACCCAAAATCGACCTCATCACAGGCAAAGGTTTGATATGTTATGTTTTGTTTATAAATTACGAAAGTGTATGTTATTCTGAGTAAAAAGAACCTTGTCTGCAGTTCCAGAGCCGCTGATTTAAAGAATATTAGGACAGTGATTTGAAGATCAAAATCCATTATGAAAAATGTGAGAAATGTTTTTATTTTTTTAACTTGTATATATGGATTTAGACATGTAAAAAACAAAATTGCTAAAGCGGCCCACCAATGGAAAACATTTTACAGCCAAAAAAAGCTAAATTTTTTCTATATTTCTCTGTTTTTTCACTAATAACTTCTAAACGATACATCAAAGTGAAAAATGTATTCTTTAATAAATTAAAGAATGTTAAATTGTGCGTCGAACGAATACATAAACATTATAATTTGTTCATGTGGTAAGGTATAAAACCACGGTCAACCAACGCTGATTTTTATGAAAATTGTCAAAAGCTGAGACAAATTACTATAAATGGCCCTGTAACTTGGAAATGAGTTCCGTAAGAGGAAAACCCCATAAAATCAAAGTTGTAGAGCATATTTTAGAAATTAATTGCTGCCAGCTTCTAATATTAGCCAATGCCTTATTTTAGTCTGAAGTTAGATAACTTATTGTAAGACCAGACTAAAGGATAATTTTTCGACTTTCAAGACAGGAGAAAATATCAATAAAGTTTCATACTCACTATACAAACATACATAAATTAAACTTTTCTTGCCAATTAAATTTACCTCAGTAATATTGTAGATAATTTGATTCCAGACAGATTTTGGTGGAGGTGGCTTTGAAGAAATAACTTTTCTGGGTAGTTCGAGTTCAGTGAGCTGGTACTGTGCACTACGTGAAGCACTCCATTTGTACATTTTCTAATTTAAAGATTGATATAAATTAAAGTTTTAAAGTGGTTAAAGATAACTTATCTTGTCTTGATTACAAAATTTCTTTTACCTGGTACATCATGATGGCATTGACATCTTTTCCTTTATAAAGAAGAAATCGAATGGATTCTGATGCGAAAAATATTGATATGATCGCAAAAACAGTCGGAAGTGATGATAGAAGAAAAAGATTATGCCAATTACTCGTGTGATCTTTTGATTGATAGATTACTTGTTCTCCTGCAATTAAAATAAAAAATATTATTAACAATATGTTTCTTATTCTAATGTTGTATCACATTTTTATTTATTTATTTATTTTTTTTAACAAACCTGAATCTGGAAGAAGACTATAGGCCAGAAACAAAACATAAAAACCTCCCAATGCCCAAAACAAGAGCAAAACGGACAATTTTCCTCGAGAATTTTGTGGTAAGAATTCAGCCAAGTAAATACAAGCCACAGGATAGCATATTCCTAATCTAGAGAAATAATTCCATTAATTAATATTTAATATAAACTTTTAAATTTGAGTAATTTAATAATGTTTGTTGTATTTTTTGTGTCGTTATTTTTTAAATGTAGGTATTTTATTTAATTATTTCATACATTTCATCACAGGGTACATGAATGAATTGAGATTACAGTTTATGAAATGTATATCTCTCTATTATGTATAAAAAGAAAAGCAGGACTGATCGTAAGGAAGACACCACATTTCTCATACCCAGAATGATTTCTTCCTTATAATGGTTACTAATTGGCAATAAGAATAATTATAGTTATGTAATATTGTAAATTAGCAATAAGATGGGATGTATAATATAGATTTATAAACAAATTAAAAATTTGTCCGAACTGCGGTTTCGTTCTGTTTATTTTATGTCGATAAAAAATAATATAATGTGAACTATAGAATACATGTAAACTACCGTTATAAAATTTGAGCAATGAGCAGTACAATTAAATGGGCATTTGTATAATTTGTAAAATATGGATTGGTCCACCATTTGGTAAAAAGATTAAAAAAAAAAACTGGAAACACTTTATGCTAGTATGTTTGTTTAAAGGGGCTCTTACACAGTCAGTATCGAAAATTGTTAATATATTATTATATGGATTACATTGCATCAATTATGTTGATGTCAATCAAACTGGTTGATATATATTTTTTTATTTTAATTAAAAAATTTTAAGTGTCAATATTATTGCAGGTGTAATGGCTATATACAGCAATAATAAATCATTTACATTGATCAAGACTTGGAGGGACCTTTGGTGTTGGGATACTTTGGAGCCCTTCTTGGTTGGAGTGTATGTCTAAAAGTGTGTGGAGGGGGAACCAAATTTTAATTTTTAAAGATGACTTCAAATTCCAAGCAAATGAAAATTTCATATTATTTCACAAGATAATTGTTAAAAAATAAATTTCAGAAAAATTATTAATATTGTAAATATATTTATAATATTTGTTTTTAAATTGATTTGTTATTTATAAAGTGATTTTTTTTTTCCTTATTTGGTAATCCGAATTTTTCACATATTCGAACTCTCTTGGATTTAATTAGTTTGGATTAGCGATGGTCCACTGTACTGCGTTGTTGCCGAGTTATAATTTTAAATGAATACATTGGTTAAATAGGAGTACATTATCTATGTAATTACACTCTTGTGTAATTTATGGATTTCTCCTCATCATAGTATATTGTGCAGGTTAATAGAATTTTTGCATTATGCTCAGAGAGACTTGAGGTCACCATTTAGTAAAAATAATGGCTTCATAAAACGACAGAGTATAAGATATACATTTCAATTGACCCAGTATTTTCCTAGATAATAATAATTTTTCTGAAGCAGTTTTCAAATGCCAACTAATATTTATGAATTATAAAGAGGGGACCATAATCTCATAAAAGCTAAATAGCCTGTGACAAAACTTATAAAAAGGGAATTTTTTTTTAAACAAGAAATTGATCCAAAAATTTTATTACTGACTAAATAAAAAATCCTTTACTGACAACCTTACCCAATTGAGCTGCCAAGCCTTGTAGTTAACAACACATCGAAAGTCGGAGCTATAGCTGTACCAATATTAAAAAGAAAATGTATTATCAGTCCATGAAGAAGTATTGACTTTCGCCCTATATGGTCCCCGAGAGAGCAGAGAATAGCACCGATTGTCAGTCCAATCATGGTCACTCCGCCTGCGCAAAAAATAATAATTTCAACAAATATCTTCATTAGTCTAAAAATAATAATAGCAAAGAAACAACCTACTAAACCATGGTATTTTCGCATCCTCAAGGCACATCTCAGCTTGAATACTTGGAGTTATATAGGGAAGGATAAATACTTGTACTCCATCAGCCATGAAACAGAAGCCAGCAATGAGACCAAGAAGCCACTGATATTTTCCCATCCCAACCTAAATTTTAACAAAACCATAACAATTAGGATTTATTTTAGTAATTACATATTTGTTAATTATTTTAGTTATTTTGTAACCTGAGTCAAGGCATCTTGATGAAATTGCCCCAATATATTCTCTGGTTCTGAAATCTCTTCAGCAGGAGGTGGAGAAATTTCATCACCTCTTCCTCCCTCCTCTGTGTATAGATTGTGTCCACTGACGAGGGCTGCCCTTTCTCCATCAGTACCCATCTAAAATTATTTTAAAAGTCAATTTTAATATAATTACAATTAGAGGAAGTTGAAATAAGCACGATAATACAAATAAATGAAGAATACAAAGAAAACAAACCATTTAAAAAAAGAGTGGAGAAATAGTTGACTATGAATAAAATGGATGGTAAATTAGTTGGAGATCGCAGTCACAGTGAGTCATACATAAAAATTTAAAAAAATTATTTCATTTTGTGCCGAATTTTTTGCTTAATTTCCAGGATTTCATCAGGGCTGAGATAAGAAAAATTAAAATTCTTACATATACTCATCAAATTTCTTGATTTTTTTTTTCAAATTGTATCACATATCCCATTATTTTATTATTTATGATATTTAATCTATATATGATTATTTTTCTATAAAAACCCTTTTAAATCTCACAGTCTTTTATTATACACTTAAAACATTTTTTACAATATTTAAGTTATTATTTTTTAAAGTTAAAAAAAAATTGTAAAATGAAATAGTGTTTTGGTTTTTAAAAAAGTTTGTTTTGAATTATTACATTAAAAAGGGATTGTTAAATTACATGATCAAGTTTTTGATCATTTGAGTATTATTCTATATACTAGATACTAGATATATTTTAAGACAATTTTAATAATAATATTTTTAATATGACTACTTTTTTTTTTTTAAAGAAAAAGAATTTTTGAAAATGGAATCGTAACATCATAAAATAATAATTTTTAAATATTGTAAAAATGTTTTAAATGTATAATAAAATACTGTGTGATTAAAAAGGTTTTTTAAAAAATAAAATAATCATGTATAAATTAAATATAACAATTATTAAAAAATCTCACAAAAAATATGAATAACCTAAAGAAGGTTGTTTATCATAGATATTTATTTATTTCAACCAATGGGGGCTTCTCAACCACTAAGGGTTATTTTAGCTCTTACACAATACAAAACTCAACAATAAAATTGAGGAAGGTAGGAAAATTAAACATTAAAATTTTCAAAAAGAAAAGAAAAAAATGTTTATAAATAAAAATCTTTGTATAAAAACATAATTTTGTGAAATAATTGTGATTTTTGAAGAAACAGAAACAACTTCAATTGTTTTGTAAAATTATATAATTATAATATATTTTTTAAATTATATAAGATATAAGAGATATTCATAAATTTAAAAAAATATGCTAATATTTTACATATATTCTCATACCTTGCCATTATATACTTTATGTATAATGCCTTTATAAATTTTGTATATTTTAATTTATCTTACACATCGTAATATATATTCACTTCTTAGAATTCATTTATTAGCAGACAATATATAATATTATAGTAATATTTTTATGGTTTTACATGATCTTTCCTCAACCCTGATGAAACTTAGCCCGAAATGCCACAAAATAAAATAATTTTTAAAAATTTCATTTTTTTTACACTGTAATTGAAACTTTCAACTAACATCTCCACCACAAGTAAAATAATTTATTTAAAACAAAATATTAATGAAAATTTTGATCTGTTCCACAATTTTTGTTTATTTTATTTCTAATCACATACAGTGGTGTGAAAAAGTCTTCAAACCAACCAAATTTTTATAAAAAATGGTAATTGTTTCAATTTAAAAGTGTTTCTATCTTCTTAATTATAAACTGATTTAACCTTGCAGACATTGTAGATGTCTGTGATATAATAATGTAGATGTAATATACACCTTTATTGGAAGTTGTTAAAAAGGGTTTAATAAATCAATGTTGAACATAAAAAGGCAAGCTAATATAGTTCTACTAGTTCAGGGAAAAGAAAATGGCTGCTCTGTAGTTTCCACAGCAAGGAAAATCTCAAAGAGGAGAAGGGACAAAGGATTTTTGTTTTGGCAAGCAGTTGGTGTTTGGCTCGGGCGAAGAGAGGATGGGAGAAGGGATCCTGGCCCCGGTGGGTAAAACCCAGTAATACTATTACCATCATGGAAGTTGTTTGGCAGGGCAAGACTAGTTAGGTGGAATTATAAGACAGGATCTCCCAGGGAGCTTGAGTTGAGTAGAAGAAAGTGTCACCACTTAGGGAGATGTGTTAGGCAGAACATAGGAAAACGTTGGAAGATAAATGAATTTAGAGCAACAAAGAAAGGATCTACATCATTATTTTAATTTAACTTTCCATATTTCATAATTTATTTTTCTTTTCTATTTAATGTTACTTTTATTTCAGAAAATGGCAAAAGAATGTATTTTCCACCGACATAAAATTATAATTTTGGATCAATGAGGGCTTTCAATCAGGGAAAATCAAAAAGAAGTTGAAGGTTCTGTCTCTGGAATTGATTCAGCCATCAAAATCTTTAAAACAATAAGCAAACTAGAGACTTAAAACATTCAGACAGGTCTAAAAAATATAGTCCTGCTGCTGAACAACATTTAAAGTTATTAGAGATGTGTAAGCACTTGACTGATCAACTATAAGGATGAAACAAAAATCATTATTTTAGTTTAGAATTATTTTGTTTACACAAGCGCTAAAACTCAAGCAGAGACTCAGGAAATAGTCGATTCTACAAAGGCCCAAGTTTTGTCCTTCTTCGTCAGAAGGAAACTCCCATCAATAATACCTTAAAGGTTGTGTTGACAGAAGAAAACAATTTTTTTTTATCTCTAAACAAGTGAAAGAAACTTAAATTTGTCAAATAACACAAAAATAGGACAGAAACTAAACTAAACATCAAGACTTGAATAGAATCCCTTTTGGAAAGAAAATAACTTCAAGGTCTGTTTTTAAACAAAAAAAAAGTCCATTAGGGTTGGAAAAATGGTGTATAATTGGGGAAGGAGGTAGTTATAAAAATGGCTCTATAAAATGTTATATGTTTATTAACAACAAAGATATAATAAAATTAATTTATTTTTTATTTTCATTTGAATAAAATGGTTAAAATTGCTTGATGAATTTTTATTTTTTAAAATACTTGAGAAATGCAAGTTTTATTAAATTACTTTTAAAAAAAAGGAAATTGAAAGTTTCTGAAATAAAGTTATTTTTACACTGCTTCTGTTATTATTCATCAGATCAGAATTTAAAAAAAATAATAATAATGGAAACATCGGATGTTTTTACATGAAAATTGATACTTATATCTATTTCGATAAAAATTAATTAGAGATTACTTTGGAAATAAGCAACTGAAATGTTTTATCATTACAAATAAATATTGTTATATTTTATAGAAGAGACATTTTTGTTATATTTTATAGAGAAGATACAAAGTGCGTTGTAAGAATATTCTATTCTATCATTAAATACAATATTTATATAGTTTAATTGATTGTTTACAAAGAAAACAAAATGTACATAAAAATTGTTATCAAATTATAATACTTTCCAAACCTAGCAGTAGGAAAGTAATAAATACCGTGTTGATATATTATAAACAAACTAAAATTCTTATTTCAATAAAATAAAACATCGATGACTTACTTCTAAAACCTTGTAAGCCCAATTCACTAAAATTCTTAATTCTTGAAATTAACAAATGTTCATTCATTCACTTTAATACTTATAATGTGTTATGTTGTTGAAAATGTCAGAGATTTCACATTAAAAAAAAAAAAATTTTTACACTACTCACTAATAGCAATATATTGTTTTATTATCTTTTGTACAACTTTTTTTAATGGACATATAGGATAAAGAAGTAAGCCATTGGCAAGTAGATCAGGAAGAGAGACATAAAATAGAAATATGTTTCAATGGTATACAACTGAATGGTCCTAATTTAGCACAGTTCACATGTTCTGAGTTTTAGGTACAATTATGTTTCTCTGAGAAAACTAGTAATTAAAATGATTTTAATTTTCAATTACTTTTATTTTTCACTCAGGGACTGTCCTATCACTTTCCGACGAATCTATATGGTGATTATTTTTCTATTGGAAAGAAAACAAACAATACTTGAAGGGGAAATGGGCTTATATTTCTAAGCTATTGAATAATAGAAGTTTTAATATTTTTTCATTGACTGCTGAAGAACGGAACACAAACTAAATACTTTTCATATTTAAGACAAAATTAAATATTTTAAGTTTATAAGTTGTAACTATACCTGGTACTTACTTTCTTTTATGATAATATTTTTCCAATTTAATGTCTTGATTAACACTTATTAATGGAATTTGAATTGTTTATTTGTAATGGTAGTCTAATATTGTTGGAGGAAGGCATTTCACATGAGCATGTTATTGATTTTCCCAAACTAGGGCTACCAAAGTAACAGCCTGATTTCATTGATGGTTTTCAAACATATCTTATTTAATATTTAAACTGTCATTGTAATTTAATTTAATTTAATTAATATTTTTTATTGATTACCACCTATTGTTTGGATGAAACATTGAAATTATTATTACATGTTTGCTATCCATAGATGCTATAACCATTAGATTTCATTAATTGATTTCTTGCCAAGACAATAATAAAATCATAAGACAATGAGGCTAATTATTTATACTATAAAGAATAAAGATTGAATCATATTACATTCATAAGTAGTATTAACTGTATTTGTACAGTCCATACTACATAAAAACAGTCATTGTTTGATTGGAGTATAACTTTTAAAAACATTTACTGCCTAATTATTTATTATTGAAAGTGATTATCAATATTGCCAAATCTTACCTAGTCTATATACCAATAGAAATATATATACATAAATAAATAAAAGATTTATACAAATTTCTACTTCACTAAATTCTACACTATGTATTTGTGAAAAACATTTTAACCTTCTTTGTAAGTTTTTTAGAAATGTTCTTCCTCCAGGACTAATTCCTATTTTCTGTATTTCCTACTTCAAACCATGCTGTGGTCTTGCCAAACCGTCAAACCGTGCCGTCGGCCTTTTAGCACTTAACAAACTTCACAATTGTTGTCCTTTTCAATTTTTATAAAATTAGGGAATTCCTTGGTGCACTCATGAATAGTCCACAGTCTTATAATTTGTTTTATACTTTTTTGCTGATTCAGAGCAAACCAAGCAACAAAACTCATAGACAGGCCCAAAAATGAAATGAAAAATAATATTATTCTGCGACTGAAGTTCCCTTAGAATAATAGTAGTGTTAAAAAAATATGTACATTAGTCTGGCATGTAGATATCATACAAAAAATACAAAGGAAAATATAAATGCATATATATAAAGATACTAAGGAAAATACAAATATATACAAAAAATATAAAGGAAAATATAAATATCTACAAAATATACTAAGGAAAAATACAAATATATACAAGAAATATTGAGAGAAAAAAAAAAGTGAAAATATAAAAATAAAATGGATCCTATCAATTAACTGCTGGTGAACAACGTAATTATATAACCCAGAAATTTTCACAAGCTTGCGGATGTTTGAATTTGTAGTAAGTGGTGGAATAGGATTTGTTTGAAGGAGTTTATGGACGTGGTTTGACGTATGTAGATGGGTAAGGAGTTCCTGAAGGAGGTAGCACGCACGAATGAAAAAGGATTTACTGACAGAAGTGGTTTTATGGGTGGGGATATATAAATCTATAGGTAGAAATCTGGTGTTGAGAGAGTGGATAGAGGAGTGTAAACTAAGGAGTTCTAAGATGTAGAGGCGGTTTTTGGTTGAGGGCTTGGAAAAGGAAAACACCAAGAAGGAATTTCTGTCAGGAAGTAGGATATAGGATATAAAGCCACTTCAACGTGGTGTACCAACAGGAAACATGAAAACATTTGGGAATCCCAAAGATGAATCTTATCATAATGTTTTATGAGGCGAATTGTGCCATCCAAAGTTTTGAGAGGAGAAAAAAAAAAATTTGAACTTTTCAGGGGAACAAATTTTTTTTCAAACAAGAGGACAAGGGGAAAATGTGGAACAGATCACAGCAAATTCAATTGTATATGATCTAGTATTTTTTAAATCCTACTTTCATTTGCTCTGTTTTTAAAAAGTGGAGAGCGATAAAATATATTGAGAGGGAGGGAGGTATATGTGCTGTCTACCTTAAGGGGGAGAAATGGACACCCTTGTTCATAGTTATCTGTACTTGATAATGGTCTCCTTCGAACAAAAAAACTTTGTCTACTAGAAACCCATATAGTTTGGCAGCAACCTTTTATAATAATAGTGTTTCTCTCTTTTTAGATAATTTTTCTGAAAACCCTCTGTAATTCGAACTCTTCAGTAATTTAAAAAATCCTATGCAACAATTATTTCAGATAAGTAAATTGCAATATATTTTAAAAATGAAATTTAGAATAGAATAGAATAGAAAATAATGTTATTCTGGGACGAAGTCCCTTCAGAATAACAAAAAATTACAAAATTAAAATGTTATATCTGGCCAAATAAAAACAAACATAAAAAGTAAAGGTAAAGATAAATCAGTAAAGAAAATATTAGTTATACATACTATATACAAAATAAAATTTAAAAAAGACTATATACAAAACTCTTGAAACCTTGCCAAGACACTTAAAACTACGTACAATCGTAAAATATAAATATACACTTTTAGAAAAAATAAAAACTACATTACAATCTTCTTAGCAGTAAACTCTGTGTTTGTGTTGAAAAAAAAAAGTATTACAGTTATGAGCTGTATGCAAATACATTATTATGAATAATATGTAATTTTACATAAAAGGTTAGCGGGTATCTGACTGTTTTTGGGACAGGAATTGGAATAGGAGGATTTTGAATGTAGACAGGGATGAAGAATGCTGAATTTTGATAGGAAGGAAATTCCAAAAATTAACAGAGCGAGCTATGAAGGAGTTTTGTAATGAGACAGATCTGTGAGAAGGAATGTAAAGGTCGGAAGGTCGAGATCTAGTGGAAAGGGAGTGGACTGAGGATTTGAATTGGAGAAGGTTGTAGGTGTAAGAAGGACGATGATTGTTGATGATATGATAGAGGAATGTATCTAGGAAATATTGTCTTCGAATGGAGGGGAAGAGCCACTCTAACTCAGTGTAGTGGTGAGAGACATGGTAGTATCTCGGGGCACCAACTACAAATCTCACGCAACTGTTCATTAATCTTTTCAGTCTGTCACAGAGCTTCACCGAGAGTCCATCATACACCACACAGCTGTAGTCAAAGTGAGGGAAAATGAGAGAGGAAACCAGGAGTCTAGGCGTATGTTGAGGTAGGTGATGGTGGAAGCGATGGAATTTACAAAGAAAAGAAAAAAAAAGTTCATTATATCTTTGAAACTGTCACAGAATGTCAGTTAGCAGCCATTAGTAGATCTCTGCTTTCTAAGAAAATACATCTCATCTAAGTTAATTATATTCTTTAAAATGTGAGTACTTTTAAATTAGGATAAAAAGCTGGTCGTTGAGAGTGATCATAGCTTAATCACCTTTCATGACTGTTGGCTAAGTAACAACACTGACTTACACAAGATTGGGTGGTCGTGTATTAAGTTGTCACCTCATTAACTTAACTCTTTAACGACCAAGCCATTTGAGTGAAACTTTCTGAGTTGACTAAATTGTTTTTTTTCTCAAAAGTTGTAATATACCGTTAAAAAAATTATGTATTTTTTGTTATTTTAAAAATAATTCAATTGCAATAATTAAAAAAAAAAACGGAGGGGCGTTCACGCCTGCAATTGTCCATAGGGATATTAGTTTTTTTTTTGTAGTACTACTTCCATATAATCAGATTTATTTTATTTTTAGAAATTTAAACAAAAGCAAGCTTGATTGTGGATCTCAATGGCAGCTGTAGTCCCTTGGGTAAATCAGAGAGCAGGCACTGTAGTTGTCAAAGTGTTAAGAATCAGAAGTGGCGGTTCAGATTCCGGCCTAGAACGGTTGAAGTTTATTTCGTGGCATAACCAGAGAATGAATCTCTAACTGCAGGATATCCAACCCAGGTAGGTGGAGGGGAAGGGAAAGAAAAGGAAATTTTACAATAACATTCATTCATAGTAGCTGAATTATGAACTTCCCACTTCATCTTGTTTTAAAATGTTTATGCAAAACAAATAAAATAAATAATGTTTTTACTGAAAAAAATAATAATTTATTTATATATAAAAATTCTTTTACAGAAAACAAAACAAATAATATATTTCAAAATGTTAAGTGTATAATAATAGATAAGTAATTTGAAAGGCTAATTATAATAAATACATAATTGCAATTGAATAATATACAACATAATTTTATATAAAGGTTATTCCCTAACTTGTGTGTAATATGTATCTTATATATCTGATGACATTAAAAAAACACAGAAACATTGAAGAACTACTACAAATTAGAAAAATAAAAATACAAGCACAAACTTTTTTAAAACCAAATAAAGAATTTACACAAAACAGAAAGTAATATTCACTTAATTTCAGTATGAAAGCTAACAGATCAGGAACAGACTTGTGGATAATTGCTTAGCTTCAGCTGAAATATTTTATGCATACATTTTTGAAATATTATATAGAAGAAGATTAACTACAAAGAAATCTCTTAAAACTATAAAATAATCTTCAATTATTTACACAAAAGAATTGTTTGTTTGCAGTAGCTAAGATATTTGTAAAATTATGTTTCATTTATTTGGTAACATGATCTAAGACTTTTCAACAATTGAAATTAACTGTAATAAAATTTCTCAATCACAAAATCAACTAAACTGCTCTTGTGAGTAAAGATCTAAAATATTTGTAGGCTTCACCAATATATTTATAAAACAAATACAGACTTATATATCATTATGAGAAAGAGACTAGAAACTTTAAAAAATAAGTGCCTTATGATTTTTTTTTTTTTTTTAATAACCAATTTGAGTTGTGCTGCAGCAAAACTGTAAAACAGATGAGCATTTGCAGTTGCTTCTTCAATATATCAATCAGAATTTAACAATTGCTTCTACAAATGACTGAATGGAAACAAACATGGATTGTAATGAATACTCCTTTTCACAATAGGATGATCTGAAACAGCTTTTTAGCAACTCTGCTCCATTGAAAAAAAACTTTTTCTTATCCAAATTTAATGTTGAAAGAAAAATAGCATTTCGTTTCATCTTTTTTTACCATATTTTTATTTTACAAAATAAAATAGAAACAATTAAATGAATTATTTGTATTATAAAGTGTTGTACGATAAAATGAAAATTAAATATTTATATTTTAGTACACTATTTAAAAGTCATTATAGAATAGATAATAGTTGCTATACCTAACCCACAAGAATATGGTGGCCCAAGTGTGAACTCAGAATTGCACTCCAGATAAAGTAGTTCTAATTTAGGTTTTCAACTAACCTTTTTCAAGATTTTTACTGACTCGAATTATACTCGTTTCCAATTGCACAAGTAAATAGTTGCTGAAGTTAATTGTAAATAATAACAACTTTATGAGAAAATTTTGTTTTGTAGTTCTGAATAGTTTATAATTATTCAAGTTTACTTCCAGCCCTGATTCTGATTTATGATAGATAAAAAACAAAACAATACATAGTCATGAAATAAAATACATATCAATGTTAATTGTCATACATCAGTCAGAATCTTCATCGCTGCTCGCATTCTCCTGATTTTCTGATTTCAATTTTTCTATTATTTCTTTTGCAGGATGAAATATACCCTGTGTTTGTGCATTGCAAATGTAACATCTCGTCGATTTTTTAAAATTTTCTAATGCACATTTCTCACAGAAATAGTGCTTGCACCTGTAAAATAAATTGAAGAATATATATAATATTAATAACAGATTGTTATCCATTATTATAAAAAAATATATAAATACAGTGAAATAAAAAGCTTAAATTTTCTTTTACTAACTATATTAAAAAAACTGATAATTTAGAAAACCTAAACCTCAGAAAACTGTTATATTTTTATGATAGAGCTTGATAGTAGGGAATAAAACATATTTTGTTCAGTTAAATAAATATTATAATATAAGTCAAAATTCTTGTACATTTTCTATTATTGGATAACTGAATATGTTATTTGTTATATCTGTACTATGAAATCTATATTCTGAATGGATAGAGGAGTCAGAGAGTAACAGCCTAAGACCTCTCCTATTTGTATGTTTCATGGCCGAAATGCATAGGATATGCAAGAAGAAGAACATCGATTGATAGAATGTGCATCTCATTTTTGTCCAAACTCTTCTATATATTGATGATATTGTTCTCTGACAGACATACCAAAATAACTGCAATAAGCACTTGTTAAATGGAAAGAAGAGCTCCATCGCAAAGGAATGGAGGAATTTTATTTTTTCATGAATATGAAAGCATTCATATATTACGCAATAGAGAAGTTCTGGACTAATTTCTCTACTTAGGAACCATTATTAGCAAATCTGAAGAAATTGGAAACAGAATTAATACAGCAAATCATATTAACAGAGCTATAATAGCATAATTGGCCAATGGAATGTAGAAAAAGAAACTGAGCTTCACAACAGTGCACTTATATATGGAAGTCAAAGTTGGACCATGCTCGTCAAGCACATCTTATGAGAAGAGGGTTTTAATATTATATAAGACAAAGGTAAATTAGCCCAAATGATTTTATTAAATAAAGTAAGGTTTCTTCTCTTTAAAATTGCTAAAAGAGCTAGAACATTGGGTGAAAAAATAAATGAATTAGGACTAAAGGAACAATATGTATGCTATAATGGGTTATATAAATGTGTTCAGTGTAAACCCCCCAGCTGTCCTAACAGCTTAATATAATTTGCAATGAATGTGTATATTTGTGATATTTGTATTTTTGACATGATTTGTTAGCATTTTTGAAAATTCCTGCCTCTTAAGGAGATATTCTGCCATTTAAAGAGAAAAAAAAAAAAATTTCTCACCAGAGGTTTACATATATATTTTGTTCAGTCCATTCAACAGTAAAATGGCTCTTTGTTAAACTTACATGAGCTAAATAATTATTTTAAACAGTTTTTTTTTTTTTCATTTGGATACTTACTTTGTAACAATAGGTCTGGTAAAAGATCCTCGACAAATAAAACATTTAAAAGGAAGATTATCCTCGTCAGAATTGATTTCATAATTATCAGAGTCAGAATCATCATTCTTCGGGTGAGAAGATTCTTGTTCTAATTGCCAACCGTGTTTGTAATCACTTCTGTCGTGAAGAAATTTACAGCTATCTAAAAAATCAAGTCAGAAATAAGAAATAGATTTTTTAATAATATTTAAATTCAAATAAATATTTTTTTTGTCATTAAAATTAACTTTACTTAATAAAATTAAAGAATAAAATATATAAACATGTTGGAACAATAAATTAAGGAATCTTATAATATGATAAACAAACAATGAAAATTGAAACCAAGAATTACTCTTTTCAATGACCGTAAGGTAATTCTCAATTAAGAACACAATATTACCTCCAAAACCACAAAATCCAGTTTCTTTAAAATCTTTGCAAATGTCTGGTTGATAATCCCATCTCACGGTGGCTCTTAAATTGGCAGGTGCACGAATAGGTCCTTTCCGCACCTGAAAAAAAATAAAAATAATAATAATAGCTCAGAAATTCTGGAAGCTGGTTTTATTCAAAATCAGGGATTGAATTTAATCATTTTTCTTTGGAGTTAAAAATGAAATCATAACTAAATTTTTATTACTGTTATTTTAAAACATTTTCTGTTTTAAACATAGAATAACTCTGATTTATTAGACAAAAGTTAAAAATAATTAGTTCTGAATGGTAAAATACTAATAAAAAACACAAAGAAGGTTCGATGCCATCTCACTAATTACTATATACATACTTCCATCCATCTACTGCCATCCAAATCCAACCTCATCAAAGCAGCCTCGATGGAAACCTGCCACTTTCGCTTTGGTTAACCTCTTGAATGTATATCAGTTGGAACAGCACATATTAAGCTTTTAGGAATTTGTTTGCTACTAAGCCCAACAATTTTACATACTTTAATCTTTAATTTAATTTAATTTAATTTTACAAACTTTAATCACCACAAAGCTATGATCTCAATTAAATTCATTGGGTACAGTCCATCCAAATCCAGGGGCGGGGTGGCCGAGTGGGCTACCATGTGTGCACATCAATCTGATATATGAGATAATTTAATTAAAATTATAACGAGTTTGCGACCCGGTGCCGAGGAGGTATTTTAACTTTGGCATTAAACCCCGCTCTTTCCCTCTGGCCTGGAAAACCCCCATATAGCCTAAAAAGCGAGGAAGGGGGGGAATCCATGTAAATCCAATGGTTTCAATTTTGAAAACTTTGAAGTGTTATTCATCCCTTAATGTTACCATTTTATCACCTCTAAAGAATTTTAGGAAGACTTATAATTTTATTTATTTCTCTTTTCAAACATTGTTTATAATCGATGAGTTCTTAATGTTTTTAAATTGATGCCAAATTTTTCATGTTTTATTATGTTATATTGATAATTTTTTCAATGAAAAATCGATTCAACAGGCTTGTAGCATTGTTTGAGATAAAATAAAACAAGTAAATTTAGATGGATTTCATTTAGCATAACAGAATATTGATAGTAATCTGTAAAGAAAACCCTAGATCAGAAATAAACACCAAGAGAAGTGTTTACTAGATTATTAAAAATAAATTTTAGATGACAAAAACAAAAAATAATAACAAAAGAAGAAATTCTTGTAATATACACAATGAAAAATGGAAAGAGATATGAAATACTTATTAATATTTATTAAAAAATGTGAGTTATGAAAAGTAGATGACGCGTACCATTCCACTAGCAGCGTTGCCTTGAGCAGTATCTTTCTTTTCATAGAACTGAGTATAATTAGCTAAACCTCTATATACTTTATCATCTGCTTTCCCTTTTAATTCCTACAAAATAAACAACATGGATCATAGAAAATAATAGAGTAACGATAAAAGCTAAATCACATTAACTAAAAGATACATAATACCATAAGGTAGCACTAGATAAAAAAGCAAATTAAGCTCATAATAAGTATTGAATTAACCTTGGATAATAAAACATTTTAGACACACCTTATTAATTATTAAGGATTTCTCGTAGACAGCTTGAGCATCTCTATCAATAGGAGTGTCAATTTCAACAGTTGCTGTAGCTCCCTGATCTGCAGGTGCTTCCGATGAAGTCGTTTTTCTTGACTTATACTTCACTGTAAGTTCGTCTTCAGAGCTACTCTTGCTTGAACCATCATCTAGTATAATTTTCCTTTTCGAGCGTATAGTCTTAAAAATAATACTTTAAAATTAAAATTTACAATATAATCATGTACGTCAATACTACTTTAATTATATCTCTGCCAGGACTAAAGATTAACAAGAAAAGAATATCAATAATAAAAGTGGAAGGAATAATTTTCAATTTTAAAGAGTAACAATTATACTTACAGACTGAACAAGTGGGTTGTTGCTATGGACTTGCTTTTGTTTACGGACAACCTGGGTTTCATCTTCACTAGCTAAAACATTAAGGGAATAGACTAGTTTAATTTTTTAAAGCATAATTTTAATAATTAATAACCCCTTGGTATATATATTTAAAAATGGAATGATGTCGAGACAGCATAGTTTTCAGTTTAAGATAGGGATTGACAAGAACAAAAAATGATAAATATGTATTAACCTATAATAATTAATAATAACATTGTATCATGGAATAATTACAAAAAGTCACTAAGTGCCTTAACTATATAGCTTAACTTCCAACTACACTTTTGTGCATTTTGATTTCATTTATCGATAAAAAAGCACTGTAAGTGCAGGATAATGGCACAAACCCTTTTGTAAATCAAATATAGTTACAACAATCACAATTTTCAGATTTAAATTAGAGTGCAAAATGACTTTCTGCAATAAATTGTAAATATGACACATTGCTCTAAAATAGGTTTTGTTACTGATGTATTTCCAAAACTACAGAGAGTTCCCAATAGACTGGAGGATAAGACCATCCTTTCATTCGAAAATGTATACACTGTAATTAGAAAATCATTACTCTTGGCATTTCAGATCTATAACTCGAAGATAGAGATGATTATTCCAATGATACTAAAAAACAAATATCATCAAAAAAGACAAACAGGATTTAACATGAGCTAGTGATAAATCTAATGCAAAACAAAATATCTAAGTAATTCAATAATCAATGAAAATTAGAATTGTTTATTAGGGTGAAAAGTAATTTAAAAAATTGATCAGTAAGTATTTAAATACTAACAGTTTTCAGAATCACTATTCTTTCGCCTCCTTCCTTTGTTTTTAACATTAATCTTCCTCTTTTTAAAAAGTGGTTGATCTTTGAGCTCTAATTCTGACATTAAAATCTTTAAAATACAGAAACGCAGATAAACATAACTTTGTAACCTTTGGCGCGAAAGGTAGCAGCTTGTTTATAGTGTTAGCAACGGCCGTCTTGATTGAAACTTATTTATTTATTTTATTTTAACTTAAACTTAGTATGGAAAGGAATTATATGCGATTATATTTCATTATAAATATATCATATAATTGTAGGATAAATTAATCAATAATTACGCATTGATAATTGCAATAATACTCAGTAGAGAGAGAAATTTTTTATTACTGATGACAGCCCTGCATTCGGTTTGGCAAAGCGGACATCTTTCTTTCGTCTTGGCATTTCTTGGCATTGTTGAACCGGCGTTAGTTAGTTTAGGTTGTTCTTCGTTTCTTGTTGGGTGCAAAACACTTCAAGTTAGCTTCCACAATGGGTGAAAATACAGGTACTAATTTTGAATAACTTTATTATTACTTATATTTACATTTAATGCTCGTTGTTTCAATGGAATAATATCCCGGTATTGTTAGCGTGTGTTTACTGCTTCAATGTTGTTTACTTCTTTGTGTTATGGTATATTCATTTTAAAACAGCCTTTTTATTCAATAATGAGACGTTAGTTAAATGAAGTGCATTATTTTTTAAGTATAAGTTATACCCGGTCTTAACTAATTTGGTCTATTAATTTTTTATTTAAGCCCGTAATTATCATATTATTGCATTTAATTTAAATAAGATATGTATCATTTTATAATACAAACTTTTGGTGAGGTAGTGTTGCATTCTCAAAGTGTTTTGAAAAAAAAGAATTCTGGATTAAGTACTTGTATTGTAATTTGTTGCAAGTGGTTATGTTTCAATTTTGATACTTTTCTCAAGTTTTCTCTTAGTTTAAGTTCACAATTTTCTTTTATTTATTACTACCTAGGAACACCTGTGTTAGTGTTGATGCCATGTAATTCTTATTAAATTCTGTATTGACTTCATGCTTTCAACATGCAGTAATATTTTTTTTGTTATGACTTGTCTTTGTTAAGTGTTGTAAATTTGAAGAGGATACTATTATTTCTCTTTGTCTTTCAAAGTTAAATTATTGAATGCTTATATTAGTTCTTTCTAATATCATCATATATTTTAATAAAGATTTTGCTAGACCTGTAGATATTATATTATGATATATTGAGTACAGGTTCTTGATTGAATTTCTTAATTGGTCGATTCTTCTAACAAGAAATCTTAATTTAATTGCATTGCAGAATTATAAGAAATTACATTTCATATTTTTATTTCCTTAGGTTTATACAGTAAAGCGTGGAAGTATTATATGATTAAGTCAATAGGAATAGTCTTTTCTTTATTTTAACTTTTTTTTTTTTTATTGGTTTTCTTTTTTCATATATCATTTGTTTTATTTATTTATCTTACTTTTATATTATTTATATGTTATCATTTTATAAAATACTACTAATTTGGTATATTTGTAGTAAAGTGAAACTCTTACTACTTCACAATTGTTACTCCATTAAAAAATTTCAAAAGCGACAGTGAGTCTCGTGCTAGACTAGTACTACTGTACAAATGCCACGCTACTCTTATGCATAGCACTAGATCTCATAACCATACTATAAATAGAATTCTGAAGAACAGAATGTGAAGTGACTGGACCGTCTGGTTACAGCCTGATCTCAACTCAAAAGGACCCGCTGAGGATTTGTTTATTCCTTTAGAACTAGCATAGTAGGCGTGTGTCCAAAGCTGTGATCTAATTTAAGTTTATTACTGCCCTGATTTTAACTGAAAATGACCAGTAGAGAGTTTACATAAATAGTAAATTGCAATCTATATAAATGGGAGTTACACCGTGAATATGGATCATGGCCCAATGGACAAGGTGAGCGTCACTTGTACGTTATCCCGTTTGATTGAGCTTAGGGACTGAAAGCCAAAAGCAGCATGTGACGAAAGATAACTCATAAGATCTCATTTTAGCTCAAAAGGACCAGTCGGTGGTTTAAAAAAGTCTTATGTAATCTAAATACCTAGAGATCGTAATAATGTACAAGAAAAACCATAGAAGCGGAATTCTTCAATGCTACTCTGATGCAGATCTTGGTGGTGACAAATTAACTGGCAGGTCTACAACTGGCATTGCTTGTCTGTATTCGGGTGGTGTCGTATCTTGGTCGAGTAAAAGACAGAGTTCAGTTTCCATCTCTACCACTGAAGCTGAGGTCATCGCTGCAAGTGAGGGTACAAGAGAAATGGTTTGGCTCAAAAGGCTTCTTCAAGAGATGACTGACTTTAAAGAAGCTTTTTGTCTATAATAATACTGCCATTAAATTAGCAGAGAACCCTGTGTGGCACAAACGTACAAAACATATATCCATTCGCCACTTCTTTGTCAGAGAAAAGGTTCAAGAGGGAGAAATTCATATCCGGAGAGTGGATACTGCATATCAACTTGCCGACGGGTTAACAAAGCCTGTGCTAGGCCCTAGACTGAAGAAGCTAAATAAAGATTTAGGTCTGACTTAAAAAATTCTATTTGTGTATTATATTAAATTTATTAGTTTAAATTATTTTAAAAGAAATTATGAAGGAAGGTGTTAAAGTGAAAACATAATTTATTATAAAATCGATTATTTTTGAACTTCTGGGTGTGTTATAAGAGATTGAGTTTAACCGTATGTAGATTGCTGTACAATGTGGTACTTACTGCCTTTGTTGATTATAATGTAATGTGTTTTGGTAATTAAAAGTGTAAAAATTATCAGTGAGTGTTTTATTAGGAAATACCTAAACAGTGAACATGTCAATACTGGGCCATTCTCGGAATCCTAGTTATAATGTGATCACGAGGTCTTTTGCCTACCTATCCAAGTGGTGATACAGGAATGATAGAGACTTCTGAAATGTTAAAACGTCTCCAACTAACCCCCTTCCCTAGGATAATTTTTAGTCATTCACACATGGTACTACCATGACCTTAAGATAGAAATAGAGAAAGTAAAAATCTATTAGAAATACATTCTATACCTACAGAAAATATATAGAGAGGAATTTTATGAGAGAGAATTTTCGGTTTGGACATTTGGGTTAGGAAATAAAGAATCGATTCCTATTTCAACAACTAATTTATTTTGGAAAAGTTACTTGTTACCAGGAATCAGTCACAAAGAATGGTGAAACCATTATTTTTATCTCAAGAAATCCTGTACCACCACCTTTATATTTTCTTGTCATTTAAATTTTTGTGACAAACAAGGAAAATATAAATAACTTCAGTATTATTTATTTAGGATGTTTGTTTAACTTTTTTTTGACTGATTTTATTGTACTGTGAGGACTGGACCAAATAGTTCTGTTTCTTATGAAGTATCAAAGAACGAATATGATTACAATCGATGCAGTATTATATTAAATACTCAAATATTGCATTTGGTCGCTCATCTGTAGTTATGTTTGTACCTCTTTTGTACATATATCTAGCAATGCTTAGGCTGATGATCCGCTAAAAAATGATCTTGAAACAAGTAGCCAGCCATTTTGGATTAGTTGTTTGGATCTAGAACTGAAATCATATTCGATCTTTTTATGTTTATTACATTTAATTAGATATAATTAAATATTAAAGTATATACCATAGGTGGGGAACCTTTTGATCATTAGAGTCCTCGATACGATCAGGGAGTGCTATTAGGGGCCAGAACAATTATTTATATTTTACTGTTGTTATTTTTATGTATCGCTAAATACATACCCATATGTGTGTACTTATTTATCTTAATAATTCTTGTGCTATACTAATAAATATCGCTCAATAAATGATCGGGAGCCGCAGCTACATCACGGAGGCCACAGGTTCCCCATCTATGGTTTTTACATTCAAATTAGTACATATCAAATAGAATAAAGTTCATTATATTTTAAGTAATTAAACCTAAGTCCTCATTGTTATTGCATCTAATAAATCCGCCTCTTTTTTTTTTTTTTTTTTTTTTTATACTCTACGTTGTATTTTCAAGCTAAGAGTTTTTTTCTGAAGAATGGAATGGGAAAATGGTTTTCATCTCAGCAAACTTAACTTTAATTTGCTTATCATTATTTAATTTTAAAAAAAATTCTTCTTTCAATTCATAACATTAGAAATAACACCAGTTTTTTTTTTTTTTACAATAAAAGACATTTGAACCAAAACTTAATTATGCTTTACCATTTATCCCATTGCCATGTTTTATATGCATTACTTAATTAGCGATCTTTTAAAGGTGAAATGTGAGAATATAGCTTAAATAAAAATAATGAAATATAATAAAGTTATAATTCTCAATCATTATTTTTTCAGTTAATGGTGACGCTAAAACTGAAGCTGCTACTAATGACAAGACTGAGATTAAATCATCAGAAGGAGATGCAGTTCCAGAAAATAAAGGTATTTTATATTTATCTTGAACATTTTTAAGATTGTGCATTTCAGATTATATATATAAGTTTTTAAAATTATTATATATAAAATAAATAAAAAGCTCACCTGAAGGTTCAATGCTGACACTACCAATCGCTTATTACACACCTCCCTCCACCGTTCGCCGTCCAAACCCAGTCTCTTCAGATCGGTTTTAACACAATCTTCCCTCCCACCTTCGCTTTGGTCTACCTCTCGGATGTTTACATTCTGGCACAGCAAATATAACCTTTTAAGAATTGTTTCGTTACTAAGCCCAACAATTATACAAGCTCATTTGTTGTTAAGATGTAATCATCTCAATTATACTAACTGGATATAGTTCACGCCATTCGTCATTGTGTAACCCTCTAAACTCTCTTGTTAACTCATCCATCTTTGGTCCGAATTTTCTATGCAATACTTTATTTTCATAAACTCTAAAATGTTGCTCATACCTTAATGTAAGCGGCCACCTTTCGCATCCACAAAGAACTAGGTAAGATAATGGTTTTATAGAATCTAGTTATAACTTGCAGGATAAGAAGTGTGAGATTAATTTATTCAAAGAAAAATAACAAGCATTTCCTGCCTGCCTTCAGCCTAACCTTAATCTATCTCCTCTTCAATTTTGTTTTTTCTGGTTATCTTCTATATCAATATCGCCATTTTTGCAGATAGCATATATTTTGTCTTATCCGTGTATATTTCAGCCCAAGTTCTTTACAGTCTTTCATTAACCTTGTCGTATTTAGTTTGATAGTTTCCACGTCTTTGCTTAGCAGGATCAGCTCATCTGCATAGCCAAGCACAAGTGTTGTCCCACCCAGATCCAACCCTTTTTCGGTGTGCATTACCTTCCTAATGGCATGTTCTAATGCCAAATTGAACCGGACAGGCAAAAGATTATTATATGTATATATAATGTTTTCAAAATTATTTAGTTAGTTTAACAATTTCTATTTTTTTTTAAAGATGCTGAAGTGCAAGAGTCGGCTGGACAAAATGAGGAAGAAGCTGGTGATGAAACTGCTACCAAGCAAGGGGCAGGAGATGAAGTCGGTGATGGGGATGAAAAAGATGCCGATCACGATGAGCAAGATGAAGAAGACGATGAACTCGGAGAAGATTCTAAAGGATACAAGATGTCCTTTAAATCTAGCTTGTACATCAAAATCATGGGATTTAAGAGGCTCCCTTCAATGGTATTTATCAAGCTTCAATTAAACTAGTAAATTAACAAACTTTTAGACAATAATTACATCATAATTTAAAACATTTCAGGCTGAAGAGTTGAAATTGTATTATAAGTTTTTTGTTGAAACACTTGGTGTGAGTCCTCCGTTGGTTCAGATCCCCGGGCCGGATGACGTCTCTGTCTTTTTCCAGTTGAAATCAGTTGAAGATCGTCAAAAAGTATTTTCTCAAATGAAAGGGAAAGTTTACATATGGAAGGAATATAAACTTGGAGTCAAGGTATAATTGAATTATTTCATATTTTTATTTATTTAAGAATTGTTTAATTAAAGATTTTAAAAATATGTTGTTTGACTATATCTTTTTCAGAGGGTTGTTTTAAAGTCTTTAAGTGACAAGAAAGAGTTTGGAAAGTTGCCACTCGACGAGGCTATCAAAATTTTGTACCCCTACAAAGAACTTCCTTATTCCCAACAGGTAATCTTAATAAATATTGCTGTTATTTCATCATATGTAGTACTTAGTAATTCTTAAAAATGTTAATAATTTTTTTGTATTAAAATGAGCAGGATTATTATATATCCATTGCCTACTTATAATGGGTGGTGATATGTTTTTAACAATGTCAGGAATTTTTCAATATACAAGGAAACAGTAATCAATATACATTTGACAGACAGATATGTCACGATCATTCTGCTTTTTTAAATTTTGTACAGGTTTTAAATTAGATAAATTACATAAAATATAATTTATAAAACATTTGTTATTTATATAGTATGGATTGGAACCATGAAAAAAAAATTAAAGAAAATACTTTCAAGATTTTTTTTTTGATAAATCTTACATAAGTAGGGTAAACTTTATCATTTGAACTGATAAATTTGTTTTGTTATTTTAATTTTTATCATTTCCTATTCAGTTTTTCAAGTTTAATTTATCGAAATGGCAGGGGTGAAAAATAAAATTGAGAGCCAAGAAGGAATTTCACTCTAACCCAACTCAATTCACATAGTAGCTCACAAAATAGATTTTTAACGCTATAAATCACTTATGAGAGGCTGTAAAATTGTAATAAAAACTAATATTATGTTCTGTCATCGTTATAATTATTAATTTTATTAGGATAATATGGTACATTCACACTTAATCTCAACTATTGATTACATACAGTTGACAGTAGTATATGTATATTACAGATATAGCTAGACTAATGGTGTTTCACTTGATAAACATTGTTGTGTATAGTGGATTTGACATTTCATACCTGATATGGTTTAAATATAAAATTTTGTAATATTTAAATTTATCTAACTTATGTGATTTCACAAAAAAAATTACAAATTTTATTTAAAATTTTTTTTTCTTTGATAGCTGAAGAAAAAGAGTGCCATTGCTAAAAATGCAGCTGATCTTGTCTTACCTAAAGAAAGCCTTAGTAAGTCATTGAAAACTAAAAAGAATATGAGAAGCTTCAGGATTAGAGAAATTGTGCCGATGATTCCCGTTGAAGGTTATGATTACTACGCTTCTTTTAGCATTGGTAAGTCCTCTTGTTATATTGCTTTTTTCACATTACCTCGTCCTTGTAAGGTATATAAGTTTCCAGCTGATGACTCTAGGTTGCACTATCCATTAGTTCATAACGCTTTTTCAATGACAAACATAGCGTAACATCTTTATAGCTTAATGTCAATTTAAAAGTTTTGGGAATATTGTGTTATAAATATTTGAAAGCAAGTTAAGAAGTGGTGAGTGTGATGGATGTGGTAGTTAAATTTTAAGATCACATATTTTTTAAACTATGTTATATTTAAGGTCTCCAACTGACTTGAATTTTTCTAAGTGCTTGCCACATTTTTAATTTTTAAAAAATATTCCAAAATGCAAACGAGATAAAATTTTAGTTGATTACTATTATTATTATTATTATTATTGTCATTGTATTCATCTTTATAAACTATTATTAATAGCTTGCTTAATACTTTACAGAGGAAGATCCAGACACTAAAGAAATTCTTGTCGGACTGAGAGCAATGTCCGAAGACAGGGAAAAAACTGCAATTGTTCCATTAGATCTGTGCCTTAGTATTCCTCGTCAAATGGCCATCGTTGTAAAGGTAGGTTATAGTATTAAGGTTGATTTTTCATTATAATAATTGTTCAGTAAAATTTCTTAGATCTTATGAATTCAAAGAATCCCTATTATTTATATTATTCTGTTTGTCTTTTAATTAATTTTTTTTTTAATTTTCATTTCATTGTAAACAATTTATTATACCTCATTAAAAACATTTTTGGTTTAAAGCTTAGCTATAATTCTATATGCATAATCTATTGGTAACTTAATTTACAAAAATAATTAATGGAAACTAATGATAGTTTTGTTTAACGGAACAGATGTATTGAAGCATAAAATGAGCCATTCGATTACTCAAACAAATGCACATCAGCTGACTTATAGGATGATATGCAGCTATTACCACAACATTCTTTAATAACAAATTTTTTTACACTTTCATAAAAGTTTTATTCATTTTTTCTTGTTTAAGATTATTAATTTTTTTAAACAAAATTAATACCTAAACTTCATTAGGATAAGTTGATTTAAGAAGAAGATGGTCATCATTTTTTTTTTCTCCTTATAGACTATATCGGGGTTTTTCCCAGGCCCAGAGGAGAGGGCAGGGGAATTATGCCAGCTTTAAAAGTCCTTCTGGTACTGAGAATTGAACTCATAATCTTTTCAGGTTGCTAGGCAATGCGTATTTTACCCCTTAGCCCCTCCTCGGCCATCCTGTTCTCCTAAAATGGTTTAGATGTAAGGCTGTTTATTTTTTGATGATATACTTCTGCTCTGATATGCCAAAACAAAATGTTTTTTCCCTTCTTGATGCAACTCCCCTTCACCTCCCACTAGTTATTGCCTTTTAACTTAAGTTACTTTAATTTTTGTTGAATACAAATTTTAAAAAGTCCTTAAGCATTTTTTAAACTAAACTGAAGGTATGTCGTATGTCCAACCCCTCTAAAATTTGAGGGCTTATGTTGTCAATCAATAGTAAAAGTGAAAACTATTTAAAATTGAATCTGCTCCTTGTTTTCAAATCCTTCTAGAATTTACAGACTGGTAAGGAAGTTTTTTTTCTGTATGACGTTAAAAAATTGTAGACACTTACATAGTACTAGTCTGATCCTAGTCATTGATAGGTAGAGTGCAACAGTCCACTTGCTGTTGAAAACGGCCTAATTAATCAAATTAAAAACAAGAAATTTGAAACCCAACAGGCTGACTGTATGTCAATTCTGAATTTATTGATAATAAAATCTATAAAGTTATTATTTTACATACTTCTGTCCGGGAATTTTGATACTGCTACAGGAATATATTAAATTTCCTTTAATAATTTCAATTAAATGTTCAACTATTAAGTGTATATATATTTATTGCTATAAGGACATTCTCAATCATTGATAGAGGTTGTTTACTAATAGTCAATAAATCTTGACACTTTTTTTCATGTCTAATTAGTTAAACTAATTAATCTAATTAATTAGGATTTAAGTTTATATATTGATAATGTTTTTAGATGTTTAGATAGATAGATATTTAATATTTTAATACATTTTAATATCTACATTTTTTTTTTTTTTTCTATTTTTCTAGAGTTTTGTAGACAGCTTGCCTGAAATAGGTTTTCACCCTTACAATCCCAAGACAAGGGAAGGAGATATCCTAGGTGTTACATTAAAGATGACATTATCCGGACGTTTCATCTTGACTGTCATTATACCAAAACTTGAAACATTACATTTCAAACAGCTTACGGAAGGTATGTAAAACATGTAAATTTGTGTGTGATTTTTTTAAGTTCTAAACGAAAGGTTTTTAAACATTTTTATTAATTTAATTTACCTAAAACATTTCCTACAGCTTAGTTTCATCAACCTTTACATTTGTCGTTTTCTTCCATTTTTATTTTAATATGTGTTTGTTTCGATAGTTCTAATCTGCTATTTATTTATAGATGGCGTCGAAAGGGAAGAGGGAGATGAGACTTTCACAATGGAAGGTGTAGTAACAGAAGAAAAGCCTTCCGAACCTGAGACTGAAAAACCTAAAGAGGCGCCAGTTGAAGAAAAACCTGCTGCTGAAGAAAAGAAACCCGAAGAGGGTGCAGAAAGTACGAACAACGAAGAGGCCAAAACTAAAGAAGGAGACGAAGAAAAGACAAATGAAGATAATAATAGCGAAGCAAAAGAGAACAATGCCAATTCTCAAGTGTTTAGAATTGAAGAAACTTACTCGTACATGACCAAGAAGAAGATGGAGGAAGCTAAGGAGAAAATTGAGAAATATTTTGATAAAAATGGAAAAGAGCTTAGCATCGATTCTGTTTACCTGAGCATGGTTTACGCTGGCTACCTATCCAGGTAAGAAAAACATTATTAATTAACAATATTAATTATTTAGTATTAATGGTCAATTGAATTAAATTAAAATGTTGCACCAAGAGGATGGTGTGATATTAGCGCATGAGTTCTAAGTTAAATTCAGATGTCTTGAGTATATCCATTCATTTTTCTTCTTTATTTGTTGATTTCCATAACACTTTTCATCAATTGTTTAATAACTTAAAAAATTTACATTTTAATTTGCAAAAATAAATATACTATTTTACTTATATTTTAAATATAATTCTATTCTTCCCTCTTGCAGTTTGTTAAAATATTTTTCTAAATGTTATCTCTTTATTACATTGAAAAGTTTTTAGAGACTCATATTTTATTTTATATATACAAAGTGGGATGTCCTATGACGAAATGAAATTAAAAATTTGTCCAAACTCTTTCGTTCCATTTATTTCATGTTGATGAAAAATAATACGATCTGAACTACTGATGCATGTAAATTACAGTTATACAATTAAAGCAACGAGTAGTACAATTAATTAAATGAACAGTTGAATATTTAATAGTTGACCGTTGCATTATTATAGGGTTGGCGGTCATAAAAAGGCTAAATAGTGGCAAAACTATTTTATTAAAAGCCAACGTTTTGACCTGACTTTGCAGGTCTTCTTCAGGGAGGTCTGTTCAGCTAGGAGTTTCACTTAAAATTGAGTTTCAGTTCTAGCTGAACACATCTTCCTGAAGAAGACCTGCGAAGTCGGGTCGAAATGTTGGCTTTTAATATAATAGTTTTGCCACTATTTAGTCTATTTATGACAACCACCTCGGGCCATCTCCTTCCTTTAAATGAACACTTGTAAAATGGGGATTGATCCGCCGTTAGGCTGTCAGAGGGTATAATGCATCTGAGTTAAGTTTGAGTGTAGGGGAAGAAAGCTTTCCCCACTCAAGTTTCATCTCCCTAAGACCTCTCTCCAGTTCCACTTCCTCTCTTCACCATAGCAATCACCTTGTACCGGGAAAGCCTTATTCCATTTTCTTCGAATTTCGCACAAATGTTTATTAAAGGTAGGGATTTGAATTATAAATAAAATAAAATAATGAAAAGGATGGTTAAATAATCAAATCGAGAAAAAAATATATATGAATTTGCGAGGTCTACTGTTCGCGGAATTCGATGTTATTACTAGGATCTGTAGATCTAAACTTACCAAGAAATAGATGGAAACTATAGAATAGAAAAGAATCCGATACGCCTTTTTCATTTACTTCGAAATGTACTGTATTAGCTCGAATTAAATGAATCGCTCGAAGTATGTTAACAGTGAAATAGGTGTGAATCAATGTAGGAAATAGGAAAAGAAATGAAAAAAAAAAATAAAAGAAATTTCTACTTGTAAACAAAAATTTAGAAGGACGTATGAATGAGTAGAGAAGACAAAAGAGTGGGGGGGAAATGGACCACTTCGCATCTCTCTCCCTCTCTATCCACCTTCAAACTTACCATAGTCAGAGTCTACCTCCCTAGTCATTATTAAAATTGTAAGGTCTGAAATCTGTTTAGCGGTTAAAGTAGATCATCACTACTGTTAAGCAATACACTAATACTGATTGTCATAGTTGTGTTGATGATGTTTTTCGCTATATTTTAAGTGTATCCATTATTTTTCTCCTATTCATTGTTAGTTCAAGTATCAGGATATTGATGACTCCCATCGTAGTCTCCATAGTGTATACGAAACAATCATGTCATATTCATGTGCAGTTTTCAACAGATCTTTACATTTTAGAGCTCCTTAAGTCTGGAAAACATATTTTCAGCCATTGGTCTGTCTGTCTGTCTGTCTGTCCTTCCCAAGATTCGCTTTGGAATGAGTAGACTGATTTTGTTGATTATTTTTTTGTTTTGTTGCGTTTTGATTACTCATGCCTGTGAAACAAATTTGCCACTCTCTGTGCAATGAGAGAAAAACATGTTTTTCTAAAGACTAGCAGAAAAATGGTTCTAATGATTTTGATGGAACTTTCTTATAATTTTCTACTTGATGTTTGTACATGTAATGAATTCCTGAGAAAATTCAGGAAAAAAGTTACAAATAAAACAAAATATTTTAGAGCTTAACTCGCAAAGTATACATTCTATGGTAAAATTTTTTTTTTATCTTTTGAAAGGTAATTAAACAATGCATCGAAATGGGATCAGTATTAGCAATGGTACAGCATATTCTATTTTCTACACATGTTTTATTTTGTTACTTTAACAGAACTTGACATTGAAATCTGTTCTAATTTCCAATGAGCAGTTTGTATTTTTAACAATCAATTATTTAATTTATTAATAGCTCAAAAAAATTTTTAACCTCCGCACATGTATAAAGGTTCTCTACCTTAAGTAGCGAGGAAGCAAAAATTAGTAGATACATCTTTTAGAAAACAATAAAATGAGAATGCAAAAAAGTTTAAAATAGACGACAGTCTGAAACTTCGACTACTAGAAATTGTATGAAAAAGTCTTAGGGTTCAATTAAACTTGATAGTTATTATTATGAGCCATGTTAGGTTTCTTTTTTTATCTCTTTTAGTTCTTTCAATCACTGTAAGTCCCTTCATCTTTTTGGTTCCCTCGGATCATTAGTTCAAAGTGGGTTTGTTCATTACATCATCTCCAGTTCGTTTGCTCAATGTTCTTTCTGTCATCGCTTGATTGTGAAAGTATAATTTTTTTTTATTATCAATTATTTAATTAAATTTCAATATCAACGAATAATTAAACAATTGATAAAAGAGTGTTAGTGAATGAAAAATCTATATTTAACATAGTTTAGTTTAATTTCTTTTTTTAAACTTCATGACAATTTTTATATATAAATATTTTTGAACATATTGTGCTACTAAGTCTTAAGTTATTATTAAAAAGTTGTTTTCTATTTAATTCTTTTTTTATATTTTAACATGGTAGTATGTGTATGTATATATATCTCATTTGCTCAACGGAAATCAACTGATTATTTTATTTTCTTGAAGTTTAAACAAAAATGAAATGAAAAAATAAAAAAGAATATGATAATGATTTATAATAAATGTTGATTAATTTTATTTATACAATTTGCTTATAATGAATAAGTTTTATCATATTATGGATATTTTCATTTCATATTTGTTTAGATCTTTGCACTTATATATGTATATATTTACAAACTTTAGTTTTTAGTTTTGTTTTGTGTTGAAATTTTTAATTTGTTTTTTCTCTGACTTATTTTTTAAATATTGATAGCATTATATATATTGTGTTATTGCTTGGATCACAGCATGCTGACTGGTAAGGATGACACCTCGCCCGCTGCAAATCACATACTTGGTCTGGCCTATGTCCCAGACAACTATAATGGCCTTATCCTTCGTGTTACTTGGGAAAGGGACTCCTATGTTAAGTCCCTCCGGTCAATCCTCGGTCTTATAGAAGCACAGGGCAAGATAAATTCTTCTTCAAGAGTCTACCTCATCTCTCCATACAGGCTTGTTGGCCTCTACTTAGCCAAGGTACTAACTACAACGGTCTCCTCGATCGCTACATTCCATGTTGTGATCAAACTGGACCATTTAGTTACATTACTTCTCGCACGTCGGTCAGATTCATTTTTATAAATGAACTGATAATCTGACCGTATCGTGTTTCATTCTAATGTTGATATATGTTGACCATTACGTACTAGAAAAAAAACTAGTACGTAAAAAGCCTACTATATTAACTATTAAATATTTGCTGATATATATTCATGTAGATATATTTATATACATATATATATCTTTAAGATATATATAAATTTTAAACAAGGTTTTACATATTTGTATTTAATTTCCTTTCTGTAAATAAGTATTTATGAAATCCAGTCAATTGTTCGACTGTTGATATAAACATTTAGTGCAGCTTTATGTTCCGTAAGCTCATCTGGGCCAGCGGAATTTTTTTTTTAATTGTATTAATTTTTTTTTTTTTTTTTTTTTTTGCTGAGCAAAGTTGTTCTACTGGCATATAATTTATTTATTAATTGATAAATAGTTGTCAATATATTTATTATATTGCCACACACTATTTTGTGTTGATAGCATGTGTACACTATATATTGGTTAAATTACTAATATTTATCGAGTTAAGAAGTGTCTAGCTCTCTTACATTTGTTTGATTGACTGGAAATCATTACAAGCATTATTATTATATACCTACTTCATTTATTCGATTCATGTACTAATCGAATTTCTGAAAAGAATTAGAATTCTGTTTGAATTGAAATAACTTCAATACAAACACATATTTCCTATCCCTATTTATTGTCTAAAAGGTTTCGTTTTGGAGCACTCAGGACCCCGAATGAACTTCTCTACCTGTTTAGTTAAAAATGATCAGAAATATATTCTTACACAGACCTTCGTACAAATTTATATTTTCTGTTAATTACATCAATTTCAGAAGTTTCGTCACGTCTCTGGAGATTGATTTTCTTGGTAGCATGAAGTAGTTGGCACTTGATCTGCCGTATGCCTCTTTGCTCTGTTCATCTCTTGAGTTGATCAGTTGTCTTTTTTATGTTACGGCCAACAGCGGTAGATAAAGTGTCAACTCATTGCCTCTTCACAAGAAATGTATTTTAAATATATTTATATTTATAGATAATTATATAAATAGCTTAAAGATATATTAACAGTTTGTGGTCTGTTTCTTCATTAAGAATAGTATATATGTATATATTACTTCTGTTCATTTTTCTTACTTTTGGTGTCTTGAAGTTTTTTATTTTTTACAATAAATCAAGCCAATTTTCACCAACATAGTATTGCATTTTATATTTTATACGCATTAATTTGACGTTTCGACCATACTAAGGGTCATTTTCAAAACTTGATGAGTCCTCCGTTATATGTTCATCATTAATGTTGTAGTTAATATGTTCAGTGAAATTAACTTGTCATGTTATATAGGGGCTTCGCCCACGTCATTTCTGGAGGGACTGTTCCCAGTTCACGTTCCAGTCCCTCCAGAATGACGTGGGCGAAGCCCTTATATAACATGACAAGTTAATGTTCACTGAAAATATTAATTACAACATTAATGATGAACATATAACAGAGGACTCATCAAGTTTTGAAAATGATCCACATGGGTCGTTTTGTTATGAGCATAGTATGGTCGAAACGTCAAATTAATGCGTATCAATAAAATGTTGGTGAAATTGGCCTAATTTATTGTATATATTACTTTAATATCAGATATTACATTTTAGTCTTCCTAACGGTGTGAAAACAACTGGTGATTATAATATATGAGGCGCTCAATTAAAAAATTGTAATGTTTAAGTGATCACTTTCTATAATATCTGGCAGTTAGTTCTATTTTAGTTCTGTAGCTTATGCAATGGACTTCCCGTATTCTGGTATTTTCACTATTTTGTGATACTGATTTCCTGAGTCGAACGGAGAACTGTTCCTCACCATGACCCATGTGGATCTTTGGTGCACACCTTCTATTCATCTAAACATCTCATGTGAATCAAATGTTTCATTCTAAGCACATGTAATTCCTTATGGTTGGATCAACTATTATCTCCAGGTTATGTTATCGCCTGTTTTAAATACTGCTAGGCACAATATGTGTTAAGCCTTTTCTTCATCCTCTCTAGGCACAATATGTGTTTAGCCTTTTCTTCATCCTCTGTAGGCACAATATGTGTTTAGCCTTTTCTTCATCCTCTCTAGGCACAATATGTGTTTAGCCTTTTCTTCATCCTCTCAGTTCAGATGGCTGGTGGAATCATACTCTGATTTCATCTTGATATATATTTTATAGTAAAAGAGACCTGCTATTGATCTCAATTTTAGGCTAATAATTACAATGTAGACCTATTTAAGTAAGTGAACTTATTATCTCCAGCTTATTAAAGAATTTTATATTCTCTTGATCGTTTCCTGGATTATAATTCCTGCCCCTTATATTTTCTGAATGCACTGTGTTTGTATCCAATGTGTAAGGATGTTAAGTTCAGCAATACCTTCATGGTTGTTCTGCGGGATTTGTTCTAATTGCTCCTGCCCCAGTTAAGTAGGCCATCCTTTAGACTCTTAAGTTCCATTTTTATGTTTTTTTCCTGCTGCTTACAGCCTTTAGGTGACTGATAGGTGATACATTACCATCGGTCTAAAGACCATGATGAAAAAACCTTTCAGCATTTTAAGTCTAGTATATCAATAATAGAGGATGATAAAGTCACCTTTTTTTTTTTTCTTTTTTTTTTTTCACCCCTTCCTTTCCGCCTATATGGGATTTTCTCTGGACCAGGGAGAGGGCACTGGGTTAATACTTAAAGTTAAAAGCCTTTCTTTCTCTCCTCCCGGCAATGGTATTCAGACTCATAATTATTTTATATTTTTAACTTCACTTGATCAGGTTGCTGGGCAATGCATGTTTTCCATCCATATTAGACTGCTCGGCCACCCCACCTCATCCCATGGTGAAGTTGCTTATGACAGATCCCCATATACCATAGGAATATTCTTTGAACCTAGTAGAGATCACTTAGTATTCAGATTTGATGTAATTTGAATATTTACCCTCAGTCATTACATGCTAAGCCTGGCTGGGTTGGTTGATATTTATTGAGATCTGGTTTAGATCCGCCATTTTTAGATATATAGCAGAGCCACATGTAGTGGAATGTGGCTCTTCACTGCATGCAAACTATAGCTATGTGAACCAAGGTGCCGGTGCAAACTTAAACTAAACAGCTTCGAAGTATTCTATTTATTGATACTGTAATCGATTTTTTAATGCCAGAAATTCTTCCATGAGTGCTCTTTGAGATCTGGTTATAATATGGAGGAGTTTTCCCACCTCTTATACAATGAAAAAGAAATTCACTAAGGGGTGTCCTTATACAAACGATGTTTTTCAGAGCCATCTACACAAATACATTTTAAAAAAAAAAGTATTTAAATTCACTGATGTATTGAGTGCTTTAGAAAATACAAATCTCTGAGGCAATACCAGTAAAATAGAAATATATATAATAATAAAAAGAAATCAAAATTGATTAAATAGTTGATTATAACAAAGTTGTTTCCTTGAAGGTCCAAAAGCTTAGATAGCTCTCTCACAAGTAATGGCTCAGGAGCACGCATCTATAGGATAGACAATTTGCCATTGTGCCCAAAACCTATTGCATGATATAATGACTAGTAAAAGAATAATAATCTATACTGGCAGTCAGGCAGTAACAGGTGCGCTATATAGCTACTATACTTATTCATGGGTTGTTAAAGACTGCAGAGCAGTACTTAACTAACAATCTTGCTGAGCATGACAAGGTGGCCACTCAGGCAACCTAAGCAAAAAAGAAGCTGATGGCTGCTACTCCCATAACTCCTGTATCTGTATGTGGAATTAGTCTAAGTATTGCCAAAAGAAGCATCGGGGAGATATTTGGTGTTGAATTTAAGAAGTATTGGTCCGATAAGGTACAGCGCCATGCCAAGCTATCCCTTGAAGGGTCTTAAAGGAGCAAGCTAATACTAAATCTATCCAGAGCAGTACTTGAAAAACTTATGGCTATCTACACTGGACACTAAGCTAAACTATCATTTGCTCACACTATCTCAGACTGACTAGGAATCGATTATGTAAATTCTGTTATTGAAGAGAACAAAACACCCTTTCACATTGTCTGTAAATATGATAGGTTTGCTATGCTATGACCCAAGCTGTTCAGGGAGGGCAGAGTGGCAGATTCCAAAAGCTATGGGTCTATAAACCCTATAACCCTATTAAGATGCTTGGAAGAGATTAAACCAACGTTTTAATATTAACCGGTTTCTTACATTGTGCACAATAGACACTTGAGTTGATCTGCAATAGAATTTAAGTGAGAAACATGAAATATTTAAGATTCCAGTTTTAATTCTAAAACAAAAAAAGGTTTATCTCTAGCTAAAAACTTGAAATGATAGTGCATCTTGGAGTTAGGAGTGTGGCGGGAATGGAGGAGTTGAGACGAATATCGTATGATGTTTAAGGCTGCCAATAACCCGTTAGCTCTACTTTATAAAAATGCATTTATAAGAGTATGAGCTAGGCCATGTTTGCAATGTCCCCACCAGGTTTCTTTGATACTAATTTTCTTTGCAGATATGCATCAGGAAAATTTGGCTCTTCTTGCTGTATTATTGTTACAGTCTATTTCTATTATCGTCTATCTTCATTGACAAAATAAAAATTGAAAGTTCTTCCAAATACCTAATTAGAGAAATGCAAAACCTTAACTTTTTCCCATATTTTGATTCTATTTCTGTTTTAATCTAGTTAAGTACTATGATTGTAATATGAAAGTATGGTGCCGATATCTTTCCATGCTTAGCTTTGAAGTACATTGTATGAATATTTTTTTAGCATTAGTTGTAATTACATATTATTTAATCAGCACCATGTAAAAGTAACATTGTTTGAAAAACTTTGTTTTTGTCGTTTTTCTTAGTACCATATGAAGGCCATGATTGCTGTAAAGTGTTAAATCTCTAAAGTAACTATTAAATTTTTTTTTACTTATTAAATGACTTGTGAAATCGAAAAGATCGGATTTGTTATTTTACTTTTGTTAAATTTATAGAATTCAAACGGGTTACTTTTACATGGTGCGATTGTTAACAAATGGTAAGTTAATGAAGCATTAATAAGTAAAATAGATATTAGTCTTAATATGAGCTAGTTTCAGTTATAGAAGGAATTGAGGGAAGAAGCTTGGTAAGAACAACTCTCTAGAAATAAGTTTATAATTTTACTAATTTAAAATATTATTTAAATTAGTTATTTTTTAATGTTCATGGTTATATTTGGTATATTTATTTCATATTAGTTTACTATAAGATAAAAAAAATTTCGATATACATTATTTGTGTCTCATATCTATTAATTAGAACCAAATTGTATAATTTATGAAGTATCATCAGTACGTACTCTGCATCATTGCATTAAAAAAGACAAGATGAACTGTTTATTATATTTTTCTTGCACTCAATTTTTAAATTATGAGAAACAATCAATTGTTCTGGTAAGAGGTGTAATTAATATAAGTCGTCAACCTGATTATTTTTATTTTTAATTGATAATAGATTATAAAAGTTTTCAGGGATAAATTATCAATGACACATATTGACAATGGTGCACAAAATCAAAATTAAAATAATTATTGTTTTGAAGTAGATAAGATAAGCCTGGTTTAGATGTTTCATGAAATCTAGTTCTGGTTTTAGGATCAATTGAATCTATGTTTAATAGCTCTCACAAAATTTTCATATCTGATTATTCAACTATTAACTTTTTCCGACAATTTTGTCATTGCAAGTAAATTGAAACTGTGATAGAATTCAAGTGACAAAGAATGTTAAATAAGATTAAGATAACAATTTATTTTGAATGTAGACAAAAAAGTTTATTAGCTTTTATTTATTGGCGTCTTCTTGGTCTTCACTCCTCTACCACCGTGTGATGCGCCTTTCGATTGGTATTGGTACTGGTAGGAGGCCTAAGTGCGGCAAGTGGAAGTAGGCCTGTTGGTTCTTTTTGCCAACCCCGGAGACAATAATACCAATGGAAGTCTATTACACTCTCATCTCTGTCTCAAATCAGTTCTAGTATTCTGTTGGAACCCAGAAGCCTGTACCTAATAATTGCAAATCTGTCACATTCTGTTATGTAGGGAAGGGCAGTTTCCATTGCAGTTCTACACAGCAGTGTTCATTGTCTACTATTTCATAAATCTTTAAATTTGCAATGGCTGGTTTGTACCCCAATGAGTTGGTTTTCTTTTTTTGCTAGGCCTAGCAGCCAATTAGTTCTAAAGGGGAAAAGGTTTTCAATTAACTGTTTAGCTTATTAGTCCGGGAGCTCGTGGTAACAAAAGCGTCATTATAAATTGATCAGATCCACAAGCCAGATGTGAAAAATGCACGTCTGCTAGTATATAGCCGCTGGAATACAAAACGGCGGCCATGTGAAGATAGAGACCCTACATAGGTTGTAAGCGTGTATATATATATATATAGAGAGAGAGAGAGAGAGGAGAGGGCTTATAGATATATAAAGCTCTACCAACCATTTCAATTTGTAGTATTTACAGTCTTAAGACATGAAATAGTAGTCTGTTACCCCATACCCGAGGATTTCAAGTCGAATAATTGAATTTACGATTCATAAAGTTTACTTTCTTCGGTTTTTCGCTATCAGTGAAACTATGCGTTCTATGTGTAATAATGTCATATGTGAAATTGAAGCTGACAAAATTTGCAATAGAAATGAATATATTAGTTTTTTCGCTATATTCTATAGTTTCCATGATATCCGTCCTCATAATTCACTAATTTCGAAGAAAAAAAAATAATTTTCATCACATTTTTGTCATTTGACTTTCCTATTCTTTATCTTTTCATTTTACAAAAAAAAAAAATATTAAATTTTCTTTGTGAATATATATTACTTTACTATCTTATCTTCAACCATTTAAATGCTAGAGCAATTATAATTTAATGAAAACTCTGAAACTATACAGAATAACTTACTTTTCACAACTTTCGTTATTACACAGCTCTTAATCTGTACATGAGACAGTACGTTATGTAAACCAATTTATACACATGCATGTTGTCTTATATATAGATTAAGAGCTGTGTAATTAAAGTAAAAGTAAGCTTTTCTGTATAGTTTTGAAGTTAAATTATTAAATTATAATTACTAAGGCTAGCCTTTGAATAGTTAAAGATAACATATATTCATAAAGAAAATTTAATATTAAACAACTTTTTTCGTTAAATGGAAAGATAAAAGAGTCAGCGAATCAAATAATGATAAAAATGCAATGCAAAAATTGTTGGCATAAAAATGTGAAAAAACTGATGTAATCATTTTTATTGCAAATTTTGCCAGCTTTAATTTCAAATATGATATTACACATAGAACGCATAGTTTCACTGATATAAGCGAAAAATCAAAGAAAGTAAACTTAATAAATCGTAAATACAATTATTTGACTTCAAATCCTCAGCTATTGGGTGACTGATTATTATTTCATGTTTTTAAGATTGTAAATATTATGAATTGAAAGGATTGGTAGCTTTATATATCTATAAGCTTTCTCTCTCTATCTTCACATGGCCGCCATTTTGTATTCCTGTGGCTATATGCTGCTAGATGTGCATTTTTCTCATCAGGCCTGTGGATATGGTCAATTAAAGACAAACCGAAGTATGAAATATGACACCTTTTTTCCCATGGGTTCCGCTATAACCAGGACTATCCGAGCCAAGTGCATTTCACTTACTTTTCTTCGATATTTCTATCACAGGTTCTGGTCCTGTAAAGGCAATTTCTGCTCCCTTTCTTGCAAGGGTATTGCCTTAAATTCCCTTATAACCAGGAAACCACACTAGTTCCACTGTCTGGGAGTTGGCCAATGTCTCCAATGCCTGTTTTCGCTCCTTTTGCCTTTTGATCCATAAATCCTTGTTCTGTTCTAGCCGTTTTCTCTTCCTCCTGCCCTGTTTCAATTCCTTTATCCCATATTTTCCTTAGGGTCATTTCCCTTCTGAGATAGCTGCATATGCATTCATTTAGCTGAGGTAGCTCTGGCAGTGTGATTCTCAGACATTCGAGACAAGTATCCCGAACCACATCAAGCGATGTTCTTTGAATATTTCCTTGATTGGTCTTGTATCGAGGCTTGCTCTAATCAGTGTGTTACTCACACTGCCCCATCTTAACTTTCCCTCAACCTTCCTAAGATATCTCATTTCCATTGCTTGGATCTGACTCTTTTGTACAGTCGTGAAGGTCCAAGATTCACTTGCATGTGTCAGAATCGGAAGAAATATGTTTTTATATACCACTTTGTTGGTATATTTTGAAATTACTTTCTTTCCCAGGAAGCCAGTCTATATGGAATATAGGTATCTTTCTGCTGTTCTTATCTCTTGATGTTCCTCCACTTCTCTTTAACATTAATTATTTTTTCAAATATGCATCAGAAAAATTCTTAACTTTTTGCTTTTTATATTGTTTTGATCTTGATCGAAGAATAACAATTTAAAATTCATACAAGGACGCTCTATAATTTTTGATCATTGACTGGTTTACATAATTAAATCTCAACAATTTTAGATATTTTTTAACTATTTGTCATACTGAGGATTTTTATTTTACCTACTTCTTAACATCAATATATAAAATGTATACAGAAATTCAACCATTTATTCTTAACTTTATTGGCAACTTGTTATAATTATATGATGCCAACTGAAGTTTTATTTTTATTTATAATGTTGAATAGGCTTTTGGTTGATCATTTACTGTGTATATATGTATATATCACTTGTTATATTTATTTGTAATTTAATAATTTTGTTATGTATTACTAATGAACCTTTTTTTATTGGTAGAAATGTGCTCACGTTACTATGGTGTACTATTGGAGTAGAGATAACATGAACGAGCTGCAATCATGGGCCAAGTCCGTTGGTGTTAATAATATTGAATTTATTAATGCGAAACTTCAGCCAAAGAGGATGTTCCCACCAGACAATGCGGTCACCATTGTTTGGCAGTCCACAAGTACTTGAATATCTATATTATTATTTTAATTTATTTATATGAGAACATTAACAAATCAATAAATGATTTTTTTCGTTTCAGAACCATCGCTTGTACACAGATTTTTAGTTTCTGGTATAACGAACTTCATTTTCGTTTCTTATTGGATCAAGGATCCGACCCATTCTTATGTGAAACAGCACGAAAAACAATTTGAAACAGTTTTAAATAAGTTGAGGATTTCATATTTATATCCGATTGATATTGCTCCTTATACTGAGAGGTAATGAATTAAAGTTAATATTATACTTTTTTTATTAATTTATATCGAATATTAATTTTGTTTAATAATCCAGGTACGGTATGGTGGTCTTCTTTAACGGGCGCAGCGGAACAGCTCCAAGCGGCAGCGGAATAGCCAATAGGCTTGGTTATCCCAACAGACCTCCAGCACTGATCGGCGGCGGCGGCGGAAAGTCCGGCCCGAAGGGTGGAAAACCTCCAAGCCTAATGAACAAGCGTATTCCACCTAGGTCGCTCACTGACAGGATGGACAGGGGCAGGTCTGGTAGCTCTTGGGGCCCTGACCCGTGGGCGGGCGGCTCGCAGGACATGCAGGTAATTGCTGTTTTATCTAAGTTGAATATATAATGAGGCATTATTACAAGGCCGTGATAGTCAAGCCTGTAAAGTATTCTTGAGTCTAGCGATGCCAGTTTGAATCTGGTCTGGGCATGTTGAAATTTATTTTGTGGTGGAGCCACGGAATTAATCTCAACCTTCCCACTCTGGTAGGAGGTTTGATTGTGCCTTTCAAACAACAGGTCCCTTAGATGCCGGAATTGGTGAGATAGAGGGAGGGGGTCAATAAAAAAAAAATTAAATAAGATATGGATGCATAAAATTAGGATATCTTGTCATAAATCTAAGTAAAAAAAATGACAATAATAAAGAAAAAATTCTTTAATTCAGAAATAAATTTAAATAATATAATAATGAAATGAAATGAAAAAATATTTTATTATTCTGGGACTGTTGTCCCTTTAGAACAAAATATAAATACAGTTTGTATGTCTGTGTGGTTACAATTAGATTGTATATTTACAATAAGAGTTGACTAAAGATAAAAATACTGAAAAGAAAAAGAAAAGAACAGGAAAATTGTACATATATATGAGAAACTTAAATAAATTGAGGTAGTCTCTGGCGGTGCTTAGATATTTCTCTTAAGTATATTTCGCAATCAGTCGGATTGAGAAAGGAGTAGGTGCTTAAAGAGGAGAGGTTTGAAAGAGGAAACTGATAGAGCGTGTCGAATATGAGCAGGGATGGAATTCCAGAGGGAGGCGGCTTGTATTGCAAAGGATTTGTCAAACACAGCAGTTCAGTGAGGAGGAGGATAGAGATCGGAAGTACGAGATCTAGTGGGACAGGATTGGATCGAGTATTTGAATTGTAAGCTGTGAAAAATATAGGAGGGTCGATGAGTTCTAATGATTTGGTACAGAAAGGTGGCTAATACTGGGTAATATGCTTATCCCTTGAGATCCCGAAAACAAATCGTAGTGCGCAATTCATTAGGCAATAATGACCATTATAGAGACTAATTAAAGAAATAAATATCCATAGAATACTCAAATATAGCTCTAACCCATCTCAATTATGCTTATTATGCCATTAAAAAATTTTGAGGAATCTTTTAACAGGGTTATTCAATGTAGGTCATCACAAGTCAGGGAGGGAACAGGGAAAACACTCGGGGTAGTCCACATCAAATGTAATTTAGCAACTACAATTTTTATAATTCTACTTTTCCTTGAACCGTTTTTAAGAAGAATAGAGCAATAAAATGTCTTGGGTTTTAACTTAAGATGACTGTAAGTTAAGTTTTATTAATGTAGTATACCCTTGTTCTTATTGTTTTCTTTTTTTTTTTTTTCTTTTAGCCTGGAGTGGACAGCACCCTAGCTCAGGTACTTACATTTCATTATCGATTAGAGCACCTACCTTTTAGTTGTTAAAATTATTATTGTTATCTCATTAAGTTTGTAACTTTTCTGTGCACCATTTATTTAATTTTTTAAATTTTGTTAGATTTGAGGGCAGCCCTCTTCATGTTGAGGTTGATAACACCCGTTTCCAAGAATTTTCCTAAATAAATAAAAAAGTTGTAGGTCAGGATAAGATAAGCCATTCACGAACGCCGTTTGAGGCGGATGTTAATAATTTGATAAAGAGGGGTCTGTCTATACCGCGGGCTATTATTTTATTTGGTTTTTTTAATTGATATTACTATGTTAAATTGCAAATTAATAAAAATACACAATGAAAGGGAAACCTTTTGAAATGTTGATATTGAGGGGAATCATTTATTTATTAGGCATGAGTAATGATTTATTTGTATGCATCTTGTGTATTATATATTTTATTTTTTTTGTTCTTTTTAGTTGGATCAGGTAGCTTCAGGAGTGATGCAGAACTTGCAGGCCGTTTCGCAGCAGATGCAGGCCGTACTTCCTTCACTTATGCAGTCCCAAATGGTCAGCCCTCCGAACCATTCTGGTGGTTCATGGGGAAATAAAAGGTATCGTAATATATATATATATATGTGTATTTCTGTCATGATGCTTAGTTATCTGTTATACTTTATTAATTTTTACTCTTTTACAGGAGATATGATGATTATGATAATGATAGCTACGATCGCCAATGGGGAGGACCAAGCAAAAGAAGGAAAGAGGGTCCAGGAAACAGGTGATTATGATAATTTTTTTTCTAACCAGAAAGCGAAGTACTTAGTTCCCAATTTATTATATTAGGTACAAATTACTGTGCTTCTTAAATAATAATATTTATATAGTCATAATGTGGAATAAGGATGTCTTTAGCTTTTTTTCTTCCTGTCGAGTCTTGCTTATCCAGGCTAGAAGTAACCAAAACCTATTATGTTGATATAAAGTACTGGTGAAACAAAAACAAAGTTCAGATGCGATGTGTGTACCATCCCTCATAGATGTAATCTTTTCATTCTGTTTGATTTTATTCCAAATGCTTTGTAATATTTTCATAAATCCGAACTCAAAATATAATATGTAATTTTCTATCACCTATCTCTTAAGTTAATAATTTGATAGTGGAAACATCTGTACAAGACTTACTTTTAAGAAGCATGTTGATGTTGTCCTCTCTAAATTTTTTAAAAACCAAGCCTGTCAGGCCCATCCAAATAATAAGATTCCATACCAAATTTCAAGATAATTTTATGTAAATACTTCAGGCCTTTTGTTGAGCTATATCTAGTGAAATGAGAAGAATTAAATTAAATGACAGGGCGCTTTTGTATATCTCATATTATATAAATAGTAATGTTTTTATAGTTATGACTTTGATCATATTTTTATAAAATTGTGTTTTTGTAAGAGAAGAAATAACTGGTGGAGGAAGGCGGGGAGACGTGAGCCTTACTAATCAGGCGTGGGGCGAGCACAACACGTCGATGTCCGGCTACGAGAGGCGAAGGTACCTTGCAGAACCGCCAGAATGGACTGATTCAATACGACAAGTTATCACCTACAATAGACCGTCAAACAATTCTTCCAGTCGGAGATCCAGGCACAGCAACTATTAGATTACCGATCTTGCAACTTCTCCTTAAGGCCTCTCTTCTATTATTCAACTTAACCTCTATCTTTAATCTAATGTCTTCTGTCTTAATTTTTCATTTTGATGTTTTTTCGTAACTTGTCGTAATTGATTATTTTAACATATTTTCAATTTTTCGTAGTCGCTTATCCGTATCGTAAGTGTCCCCTCGAATTGTCCCGAATCCTTTTGACATATTAAATTACTATTAGTATTAAGACAACTTAGAATGATATTGACCTTTTTTGGTGTGATTTGTTCTATTCTGTTTGACTTAAAATAATTGCTATGTGAACAAACACTCTCCCTTTAGTCTTTTTTATATATTTTGACTTAAATCATTTTTACTAAACAAAATGAAATCTTTAGTTATTTCAAGTGCAAATTAGATTGATGTATTCAATTAAGTTATTTATGTGAATTATATGTATATTATATATATTAAACTTTATGTTGTAATTAATTTGAAGATTTTTATTTTTTTTTTTATGTATAGTTTTTGTGTAGTATGTGAACCAAATCATATTCTATTACCTAGATACGTGTAATTGATTTTGTTATATCATAATATACTTTATAAATTTCCTAAGTTAGATTTTATACGATAGATACAATTTATACAGTTCTTCTGTTTACTTCTAAAAATTTGGATTGTATATTATTTTACAATAATTTTTTCACTTATAGATTTCAATTGTAGTAAAATAAACCTTTTTAATAGTGATTAATTTTTTTTTTACCTTATCAAATCTTCTTATTCACTTATGAAATTTATTTCTCTCTGGACTAAAAGTAAGTTATTTATTATACTTAAAAATCTTTTATTGTATTTATTTATTTATGTATTCCACCCTTCCATGCCACTATGGCAATACAGGTGTTTGCAATGGTGTGTTATTAAGCATGAATGCTTAATAACACATTACTACTAGTTAACAAGAGCAAGGATGTGCACATATCTTCTTGTTTCGGCCTAGCTTCCAGAATCTGGAGGTCTACTTGTCCTCTTCTGTGGGCACCAATACGGAAGTGAGCAGGTCCCACCGCTGTCTTCCATTCATATATGAAATCCTTAAACTGCGGGAAGTTTTCCTCACTTACTGAGGTGACTCATTTTCAGTGAGGACATAGATTCCCGTAGCTCTTGTCATAGTCGCTCTTAACGTTTCAAATGTGGTGCAGGTCATGACCACGTACTCTACTGTTTCCGGAACACTATAGGTTGGGCATGGAAGACCTACGTCAATGCCCAGACCATGACATTTAGCTCTAAATCTTTCATGCTCAGTGAGGAACTGGGAAATACAGTAGTCTCAACTGTACCGTGGGAAAGTACTTTCTCAATGTTTCCTTTAGGGGTTTCTACACGCCACCAGTTTCATGCTTTAATCGTGTCATCCCAGGGTATCTTCTTCCATCTATTAGGCGCATCCATATCTCACCTGCAGATGGTCCCAAAATACTGTAGTCTTCCCTCTTAGAAAAATGTTTCGTCACTTCTAGCAGGTCAAGAAGCACCACCCTTATTAGAACCTTTACCCCTGGCGACCCAAAACAGAGTTGTTCTCTGAGTCGGCGCTAGCCTTTTTTTTGTCCTGTGAGGTTGCGGAACGAGAAGGGAGACGTATATTATGATACCCTCCACAACACCTTTGTAAATTGTGATTGTGGCTGGATACCTAAAATTCCAGAATGCGCTTCCCATATATATATATTTTATTGTACTGTAGCCCATCCATAAAAAAAGAAAATGGAAGAGCAAAATGAAGTGCGACTGTAAATTGGAACTGACATTTTTCTTCGAAAAAAAACAAAACAGAAAAACTCGAGAATAAAATTGTTTTGCTTTTGCTTAATCATAATAAGATAATTATAATTACACAATTTGATACCTCATTACTTTAAATTTATTGTTTTTCGAGAAAAAAAAAATCAAGGCTATAGTGAAAATATGAACCAAAAAAGTTTTATTTTTCGATTCCTATGAAAATTCGTATTTAAGGGTGCTAAATACAAATCTCAACTGTCTGTTGTTCTTACAAAAATCTCCACAAACTATTATTACTATTATAATGTGGAGATGGTTGACTGTGATTATAATTTGAGTAGTTGATCGGGGAGAGGTGCGAGGGAAGGGGTGCAGTCAAATTATGATATATAGGCTTATCGAGTAAAATACTGTTATAATATATTATTGAAGGAAGCTAGTTGACTCTTCTACATATCATGGGTGATAAATAGTCAGGAAGCAGTCATTATAAAATTTTTTTTATTTATTTGTGCCAACGTTTCAACCCAAACAAATGGGTCATCATCAAGGCTGAAAATTTTAAAATACAATCAGAGGTATAATATTATACGACCGATAATGGTAAATAATAAACTATAGTGATTGATGGAATCTTAGCTATTATTACAATACACAATATTAAAAACGAAATATGTAAAAAGTTATACAAACTAAAAATAATATATATAATCTATTTATAAAAATTTGTAATATTTTCTATTACTAACCGTGGTTTGAACACTGAGGGTGTTCAAGTACTGACACATTTGGTAGGTAAGTGAAAAGGTAAGAGGGGGGGAGGATTTCCCAGTGGTCCTTTTTCAGATAGCAAAAGGTAGGTAAAGTCAGAAGGGGAGGGGAGTGAGGTAACATTTCTGTTAGTAGAATGTAAATGTACACATCTTAAATATTTAGTAAGCAAATTATTGCGATCAAGTTGTGCCATCACAATTTTTAGGGAGGCCTATTTTTCCAGAATTTTAAATTTTTGAGGGAGACACATTTCGACGGAGTTATGAATTTTCGGATTGAAAAGTTTCAAATAAAGAGACTAAGAGAAAATACATGGAACAACCCTCAGTAAGTATAATTGTATATGATTAATGGTACTTTTATTTCCAATGTTTTTAAGAATAGGAGAACAATGAAATATCTTGTGAAGGGGAGCGGCACTCCTGGTCTTCACCTATGTAGACTTAATCAGAGGCCTGGAACCACCACTCTGAGAAACAAGCAATACACCTCCGACACCAGAATGACAATATACTTTCCAATATGGCTAAAGAACTTGAAGGCTGAATCAAAAGACAAATTCATTTAATGAGAGCCATTAAAATTGTTCATGTCATATAGTTGTAATTTTTCATTACATTTAAGTATTGTATTCATTATTGTAATTATTCTTTGCATTTAATTCGTGTAATTATTATAGAAAATATTGATGTTATTTATTTTTGTATTTTAGAGATGAATATAGAATAGAATAGAAAATTGAACTTTATTCGGGGGCTAAGTCCCCTTAATAAAGATGAATTAATACAAAATAAAATACAAATTTGGCCAAAAACTAATTTATAAAAATTCTAACATTATTTAAAAAGTAGTATGTAACCACTAAGAAGTAAACAAAAAAAAAGATATATATATATATACAAATGAACATAAAATCTTCTCAAAATTACTTATTATTGCGATGAAAAAAAAAAAATGTATATAGTTGCTTGTTGAAATTGTAAATGAAAAATGGTCAGGATGTGCAGTCAAAAAGTTTTTTGCCTACGTTTCAACCTTCAACCTTGTAGGCCTCACTCATCTACTTCATTTTGCTTTAAGTTTTTTTTTTCCCCTACATTGTTTATGTTTCTCATATCAATTATTTTCTGGTTCTTTTCTCAGCCCTGATGAAGGCCTGAACTTCATCGCACGGGTCGAAACGTCGGCAAATGTTAAAATAAATATTATTATTTATTTTTGACTGATCACTCCAACTATCCTTCTCTTCATAAAATATAATAAATACATAAAAAAAAATTGTGTGCCAAAAGGGATTTTTCAATAAAAAAATTTTACAAAAAGAAAGTGCAATTATCTAATTTACAGTAAATGAAAAAGACAAGTTTAAATTAAGATTAAAAAACATTTTAATTTTATTTTGTAAATAACAAATATAATTATTACTGAAGATTGTCAATTCATCCATGATCTAATTGTTATTATTTATATGAAATAACTTGTATTTCGTAACAGCGATACAATCATAATCTATGATATTTTAAAGCAAAAATTGTGATCCATACAATCCTTTAGTTGTAACACCAGCATACACAATGGTCTGAGATTTCAAAACAAGAATAGTATTGTTGTTTTTTATTATTTCATTCTTTTTTTACATTAATTTTACACTTCATATAATATTTATGAAATGGGGAATAAATATATTATAATTTTCATATTACAATTTTCCATTTTATTGTTCCAATTAAAAGCATAAAGTTAGTTATCCACAGTTTCTTAATATTTTAAGGAATAATTATTTATTTATTAGAAATTTTTAAGTGGAGTATTCATCACCGTTGAACAAATCAACTTTCTTAATGTTTAAGATTTCTCTGATGGGTTGTGTATGTTGGATGATTGAGGAACTTTTCATTATAAGCAGGAATATTGTAACCGACGAGCAAGTATCTTTTTTCTTTGTTCAACAAACACAGAAGATCAATATACAATTAAGAAGAAACATGAATTTTATTATATCTTAAAGAAATATAAATTAATTCATCAGTTTTGCTAATGTAGAAGACCTAGTTTGTAAATTGAAAAGTATTTGTTTTATAAACTAAACATTGACTTAACAGTGCAATACATTCCATATCTGTAATTCATCACATTTATATGTAATGTATATGAATTTAACTTATGCGCTTGTATTCTTTACTTTGTAAATATATATTATAAGTGAGAAAAATGTAATGTAATATAAATGGTTATTTTTATTTCTCTTAAATGCTGTTTGTAATTTTGTAAAATATATAATAAATTAACTTGTGTAAAAGTTTTATATATTACAACCTAATTTCCCACAATATAAAATAAAATTTGGACTTCAGACAGTTTGTTTTTTGATTCTTTGATTCAAAAAAGAAAAATAATAGAAGTAAATAATGATAAATTAGGCGATGAGGATATAAGTAAAGTAAAATAATATGTACCTCTATTATTATTTATATTCTTACTACTCCGTTTATCCTTAATTTACTTGTATTGGCAATGTTTTTGTTGTTTATTTCTTTGTATACTATATATATTTCTTGTATATCTGATTTAATTTCATTCTTGTTGAACATTCAAAAGTTTGCATTGAATTTTATTTTCAGAAAATATTTTTAAAATGTTAAAATTTCAACTATCAAAAGATTTTAAATGAAAGCCAGTATCAAAATTTAAAAAGAACAACATTGAGAAAACTGAGAATGACTTATTGCTTATGAACATCATAATTTGATAGAAAGAAAATTGTTGAAACTTACAAGTTTTACTTTGAATTAGATATACATTCAGAAGATGCAAATATGTAGTTAATAATACGCACAGAAATGAGCATCAGTGTTTGATTATAAAGAAAGAATAGGGTAAACTAAAAACAACTCATCACAGAAATACATTTATTTGTATAGTTCGCTGTTGATACCACTAGATTCATTCAAAACTTCACTTCACTCACTATATTCACTTTTGAGAAACAAGAGATAAATAATTAAACTAAATTCTGTATTTTTTAATGAAAAAAAAACATTATGAAATAATCATACACT